TACATTATTTTTATCACTAGTTAGTTGGAAAACACTTTCTTTTTGAACTAGGCTTTAAAATAGACTGAATAAGTATATTTTCAAGTAAGTGTAAATTAGTCATTAGAAACATTTCGAGATTCACAATGTATAAGGTAGGCGGTTTTGCTTTCGGTTGAATTTCTAAAATGATCTACTATCTCTCTCTCTCTCTGTTTAGTACATAACCGCCCACAGATGCATCCACTAGGTTATATACCTACATTTATAAATGACATTTTAATGAATTTTTCAGTAACATTTATTTTACAATACTAAGGCTGTAGTATTAATGTGTATGCATGTATAAATGTACTGATTACATAGGTACATTTACATCACAATACTATGAGTTATTATTATGTTACGTTTTTGTAGCATGAAAATTATTCTCACCTCTTTTTTGTAATAGACTTTTATGTTTACCGATCATGAGCTGACTATATTTAAAAGAACTACTGAAAAAAGAAAACAATCAAACAGATGTTTTGTTTTAGCTTAGGATTCATCAGGAGTGCATCCACATGATCGTACAGGAGGTTGAACCCAAGCCTCCTAAGTATCGTGGTAATCATGATACTTTGAAAATTGGCTGAAAATTAAGTAATGTAATTTTTTCAAAATTCCACCAGTTTGCGCTTGCTACTGGAGTTTGCAAATAGAAAAAATTTCCCCAGTTCTCTGTGTATATCAACAGCTCTTCAAAAACTACAAATTTGTTATGGAAACTATTCGAAACTTTACAAAAATATCCACAAAATTACTCAACGTATTCATAAAATTATGCATATATCACATATTCAAGCATAAGCAATTATTAGCAGAGATGGATAGTGGCTAGCAGTGGAATCCAGGACGCGCGTTTCATCCTATTTGGGACTCGTCAGCTGGATGTACCTGCATCTCAGAGTTGATGTTCACTCTGGGACTCGAACCCAGTACCCTCGCTTCAAACGCCATCGCGTTATCCACTCGGCCACTGAGTCCTGATAGCCATTTGCTTGTGCGATGGGGTGAAGTTTAAATTCACTTGGTATTGTTTGTTTGAATCTTCCCATCGATTTTTGTTAGGACTGCAACTGGTCAGTCTCTAATTGGCATATGTACATACTGTGCGTATTGCCTCGATATACCTTAATTCACAAGCATGGTTAGCAGAGATGGACTTCAACAGTATGCACATATGCCAAAAACTACCACTTTCTTCTAGTACTAGTTAGCATAATTTTGATAATCATATTTGACTGAACCAAACATCTTTGGTTAGCGAATGCAGTTCGAATCCTGTGTACGGTATCATGGATATGCACTTTTGAGGAGTCCCATACTAGGATGAACCGGCCATCTAGTGCTTCTAGGTTTTCAATGGTGATCTAGCATTGATCGATTCATTACAGTCGACTTCCAGAAGGGATTTAGAGCTTCTTAAATTTTGTTGAGCATTTTAAGTGTGCGCACTTTCATCAACATCATGACCGTATACAAGTTTACAACAAAATCCATATTCACAATAAAATAATGGTATATTTGTGACATCTCAACCAGTAGAAATTAAACTTCCTATCGTTTTTATTTAAGTCACCTCTTCAGAGTAAATTAATGAAGTTTAAAAAGCCATATTGATTAATATACGATCAATCGTTTTGCTCCATTGTATTCCTTCGATTTTATTGATACGCAAGTAAATATGTTATAGAGATCAGTATTTTGTGAATATAAATAGCCGAAAATCTCATACAGTGACTTAAGTTCCGTTTACTATATAGTGTATATAGCTATGTCGTCTGGCGTGGTTAACCATATATATTCTTAACTAACAATTTTTTACAACAACAGTCTTCTATTCACTATACAAACAGTGTTAGGATTTGTAAATATTATGCTGCTCATGAGTAGTTTCATCTATGTACTTACATTTTCAATAGTGATTTTGTGGTTTCCGATTCCTTATAATCAGTTGCTTGATTCATAACTATTATTTACGTATAATCGTCTTTAATTATTCATGAATAAGTAATTCGGGATTGAGGTGCTGAAGAGAGAACAAGAAATTTCTGCTATATTTTATAGATCTGTAAATACTTAATTTTATCAATATTACGCTTTATTTTATTTCAGTATAACGATCGTATATCAATTAAGACGTTTTTATCAGCGAACCTGTTTGATAAGGTAAATATTTAGTTAACTCAGACACTAAAAGATCATATATTTTCATAGTTTAAGTAACGAATATATATTAACCAGCTAAATATTGGAAACTTGGTGGGACTCAGTGGTCATTTCATCTTAGTATGAAGCTCCTCATGGATGAGAATACGTGACTCAATATCCAGGAATCGAATCTAGAGACTTCAATTTCGCGCACGAGCGCTTTGCCTGTAGATCAGTGAGTCAAAACCCAATAGTGTACATGTCTAATTGAAATCAAGGCCGAAGGTCCTCATTTCAATTCATGGATGCAGAGTCGTGGATGTTCATTGATGAGAAGTATCATATTGGGACGAAGTAGTTGTACTGTCTCACTAAGTTTTCAATGTTGATCTGACTAAGATCGATTAGTGATTTAACCTATGAAAATTTTGTGATCCATACAAACCCCACCATACTAATGATTACATATTTATTAACCAAAGTTGATATGATACTAACTAGAAGCAAAGATTATTGAGAAATGCCTATGCATACATTATCATCTATCCTAGTGTTGTAGGATGAAAAATTGTGCAAAATCTTCTCACTAATACTATCACATTGATTACCCACTCCTTTTATAACACAAAGATCCTCACACTCTTACCAACAAAATCGATTCCGTAATCTAATTTCACATTTAATTTTTGATGTGGAGAGATCTGCAAATCTATGTGCATTCAACAAATTGGTTATAGGTTACACAATATTCCTTCACTAAAACATACATAAAGCTACAGAGATATCGTTGGACCACATCACAGAGAACCAGATAGATCATATTTGTATCAACAAAATATTCCGAAGGATAATGCAAGATGTGAGAATCAGAAGAGGAGCTGACATAGCTTCAGATCACCACCATCTGGTTGTGGCCAAGAAACACTGGACAACTGGGGGAACAGTACTACAAAAGTTCGATACAGCCTTCCTTCGAAATACTAACAAACTCAACGAATTCGAGATAACTGTCAACAACAGGTTCCAAACTCAACATAATCTACTGAAAGAACAAGAAACTACGATGGAAGACAGCTGAAAAGGGATCAAAGAAGGTGGGTAGAATACTTCAAGTAACTGCTGAATAGACCAGCTCCATTGAATCCACCGAACATCGAAGCAACACACACAGACATTCCTATAGATGCCACTTCGCCAACGATCGAAGAAGTCAAAATGGCCATCAGACAAAACAAAAGTGGGAAAGCGACAGGACCTGACAATATGCTAGCTGAAGCACTAAAGTCAGACATTGAAGCAACTGCAAACATGCTTCACCTTCTATTCAAGAAGATTTGGGGAGAGGAACAAGTGCCAATGAACTGGAAAGAAAGATATCTCATCAAGATACCAAAGAAAGGAGACTTGGACAAATGTGAGAATTACAGAGGCATCAGTTGTTGTCAGTATCAGGAAGATTTTACAGCAGAGGGTTGCTGAACCGGATGAAAGACGTACTAGACGTCCGACTTCGAGATCGACAGGCTGGATTCCGTAAGGATTGGTCGTGCACAGACCGAATTAAGACTCTACGGATATTCGTTGAACAATCATCTTAATAAAACATCAACTTCATGGACTATGAGAAAGCGTTTGACAGTGTGGACAGGAGGACATTATGGAAACGTCTTCGACACTATGGAGTTCCTAAGAAGAGTGTCAACCGGAATTCATACGGTGGACTACAGTGCAAAGTTGTGCATGGAGGACAGCTGACAGATGCATTTCCAGTAGGGATCGGAGTCAGACAAGGCTGTCTACTCTCCATCTTCCTCTTTCTTCTGGTGATTGACTGGATTATGAAGAATTCAACATCTGAGGGGAAGCACAGAATACAATGGACATCTCAGAATCAGTTACACGATCCGGACTTCACAGATGACCTAGCCCTCCTATCTCATACACACGAACAAATACAGACGAAGACAACAAATGTAGCAGCAGACTCTGCATCGTTAGGCCTCAACATACACAAAGGAAAAAACAAGATTCTCAAATACAACACGGAGAACACCAACCCAATCACACTTGATGGCGAAACTCTGGAAGAGGTGGAAACATTCACGTACCTGGGGAGCATTATTGATGAACAAGGAGGATAGGATGCAGATGTGAAGGCGAGGATTGGCAAATCAAGGATCGCATTCCTACAAGTGAAGAACATATGGAAGTCAAAACAACTGTCAACTAGTTTCAAAGTGAGAATCTTCAGTACGATCGTCAAGACAGTCCTACTGTACGAAGCTGAAACGTGGAGAACTACTACAACCATCGTCAAGAAGGTACAAGTATTTATAAACAATTGTTTACGCAAAATACTCAACATTCATTGGCCGGATACTATCAGCAACAGCGTTTTGTGGGATAGGACAAACCAGCTTCCAGCTGAAAATGAAATTAGGACCAGACGTTGGAAGTGGATCGGACATACATTAGGGAAATCACCAAACTACATCACGAGGCAAGCCCTAACTTGGAATCCAGAAGGAAAGAAGAGAAGAGGAAGGCCAAAGAACACATTGCGCCGGGAAGTAGAAGCCGATATGAAAAGGATGAATGTAAACTGGAAAGAACTGGAAAAGATTGTTTGGGACAGGGTTGAATGGAGAATACTGGTGTGCAGCCTATGCTCCTCCACGAGAGATAACATGCATATGTAAGTAAGTATGTAATTTCTAAAACGTGAATTAAAAATCAGTCAATTGAAAAAATTTTCAGATACATTTAGCTTTGTCTCTAGGTCGTTCCAAAACATTTTTTCGACTTATTAAAATGATCCTTGATAAAAACTATTATTAGACTGATAAATGTTCGATCGTTTAATCACTAGTAAAATGTTATACCTAACTGATTTATCTGAATGTTTATGGATAATTAATTTGTACTTACTACTTAGAATCACGTTTTACTTTATTCATCCAACGTTGGAAAAATATGTTACAATCAGATTTAATACTGAAAATTTTGTGAATACAATCCTTTTGTTAGTTGAATTAGATTTAATTGAACGTTTATTCAACTATATGTAAAAACTAAGCTAAACCTACGTTGGAACACTAAACATGGTTTATTTTAACCTTATTAACGAAAGGCGTTATTTGATTCAATTGAACTTCATCTCAGAAATTTATTTTATTTATATACTGACAGCCTGAATTTCTGATGTATTCTAAATTTACAGTACCTATGAAAATCAGCTTTGGAGTATACATTGTCTCAAATGTTCAAATATAGGTCGATAAATAAATACATACAAGCATATTTCTTGGTATTAGCCACTTTAGATCATATTTTTATGATATACCAGTGGCTTCATATAACATTATAAATTAGTATCCCCACTTTTGTATTTGTGTGGCAAGAATAAATAATTCTTTCATCAATAAATAACCACTTTTCGAAGCTGCGATTGCAATTTTCTCTGGTCCTGGTATTCATTTATAACAAACAGCAGCAGGTATTTTTGAATTTTCAAATAGTTTACGTCAAATTTAAAAATGTATTGATGATTTCAAAATGCTTCATTACGTAATGGTACGGTTTACATCGTAATAAAATGTGTGAAACAAGGAATAATGTTTAGATTGTGAAACAGGTTTTCACAACATAAAATAAATGGATTTCGTTTGAATCATATTTAGCCGTTTATCACATAAGATGTAGTTCATGAATAAAGTAATGTAGTAAACAATGAGAAAATACGTAAATTCTGTCGATTTTATATGTTACACAATGATCTAAATTGGAGATATCACTTTCATCATAGAACGCCATAAATTAGAAAACTCATAAAGTATGGTACAGATGAGTTACCGAAAATCAAACCATAAACTTTGGGTCGTTCAGTGATCTTGCACTGATCTGCTCTGTTCTTCAGCCAGTACCTGTTTACTGCAAAAAATATCACCATGGTATACATTTTTGAGAAAGGAAAACTCCCAGTTCAATGAACCTAATAGTTAGATTGTCTAACTTCTTAAACTGTAAACATATACATAACTAAACTTTTAAATTCGTTCGTGTCTCTGGTTTTTTTTACTAGGTTGACTTGCTTAGATAACTGTAACTACCACAAACCAATTATCATTTCTTAGCTTTCATTGATCATTTATTAGTATAGCCCATGAGATTTTATGATTTCTAATAAAAACTCCAATGATCTTAGTTATATAAATGACCTCAACTTTTCAGTGATTTTGCTTTAGTTTTAGTTTTTAAACTTGCATATATTTAATTTAAACAAGTACATCCATAATCATAAGACTGTAAAAGTGTGTCATTTCGCATCAATGAATTCTTAAGCAACCGTTCTTTGTAGGATTTGTGCATTGAGTAACGATGTACACTTAATTATCATAATGATTTATTATTATTTTTTCATATTTATTTCAGAATTCTCCAGCTTCTCTTCACCAGTCTTCCCTTCTCTTATATGTGGCATAATATGATAAATTTGGGATTATATCATTTCACTATTCAATGTTTCAATAAAAACAGAAACTATTCTATTACTAATAAAAAGATGTGTATTTATTTAAATTTAAATCTTATTTTGATTCTATTTTTAATTACATTTGATTTATTATCGAACTCTTTTTTATCATTATGTTCTGATTTACCTAAATCAACAAAATTAACAACTCCATTGAATACTTTGAATCAGTTTAAACATTGTTGTGATGATGGATTAATTGCTGCTCATAGTTTAGATTTACCAATTTTAACAAGTCAAACCAGTGTAACTAATACTGAAACATGTGCAGAGATTTTACAATTTGGAACATCAGTAGTTGAAGATGTAAGTTATTGATATAACTCTTTATCTAAGAATATATTACATAATAACTATTCATGATAATTTATACAATAGATATCAAGGAGAATAAATATGTCTCAATAACCGACTAGTTATTTGGTCGGAAAACGTTTTATTCAGTCCTACTAGTCGAGTGAAAAAAGTAAATTAATCATTTTATCTAAGATGAATTCTGAAATAGTAATCTATTTACATGAAATGCTATTGAAATAGTGTCTTCGTCACATAGTAGAATATAATTAGTAGATAAATGTCTATATGTAACAAGTCAATTTAAATTAACTAAAACTACTTAAGTTTTGATATCATTTTCCCTGACCGCATCGGATAATTCAAGTTATTTATTATAAAAGTCATTATAACCTCAAATCATAATATCACTATTTGTTGGATAATAAATTGTTTAATAACTAGAGTAGACAGGTTAAAGCTATTAGCGAAATCCATGACATGCTTTTCGTTGTGATGTAAATATTACTATGCAGGTATATACAGTAGGAATGTCCCGAATAAGCCGAAACATGCCAGTATCAGTTAATCTATTCTAATTGACTTTTGCCATATTGGCTATATCGATGTGATTCATTAAGTGTGCTCACATAACCAGAAGAACTGATTAGAAATGAGTCCCTGATATCATGAACATACTTTTAAACTTAACATGTTTTAAACATTCACATGTTTCTTGAAATATAGAATCACAAGAAATTAAGAAATCTCTTTTACTATGAAACTAACTTATCTGATTATAAAATAAGGATAATGAGATTCAACCCATAATGGGAAATCTTTTTCACGAAATCGACATGCACTTGACTCACGATATAACAGACTACATGTGATAAACAAAGGTGGATAGTGGCTAGCAGTGGAATCCAGGACGCGCGTTTCGTCCCATCTGGGACTCGACATCTGGATGAACCTGCATTTCAGAGTTGATGTTCACTCTGGGAATCGAACCCAGTACCTTTCGCTTCAAACTCAATCGCGTTATCCACTCAGCTACTGAGTCCTGATAGCCACTTGCCAGAATGAACCTCAACGCGCGTCCTGGATTCCACTGCTAGCCACTATCCATCTCTGCTTATAATGCTTGTGAATCAAGGCTATATCTTTTTAATAATTATTAATGGCTTTATTCAATATTATAATCTGGTACAATATAGAATTCTCAGCACGAGTTATTTCAACAAGTTTTTTTACCAAAAAGAAAACACAAAACAAAAAAAAACCCAGTAGCTACTGCGCCACCACAGGTCTTTTTATTGTTTGATCGATCCTGACGATAGATATTAAGATCACGTAATGATACTAGGCAATCATCCTGTAAGTCAGTCAACCAAGATTCTTGAATTGTGATGACACCACAATTACGATACATGTTTTGACTTAGCAGAAATTGGAGATAGTCCACCTTGTTAATTAGAGATCGACAGTTAGAGTTAAGCAGCTCGGGAATCGACATTTGATTAATGTTTATTCTCTCTAAAGCATATTGCCAAACACCACAATGTCTCTTATTGTACTTGTTTGTAATTTTTGCAGCGAAAGGACGTAAGCTTTTCATAAACGCGCCTGTATAGGTTATGCGATCAAGAGACATAATGATAGGTTAAAACCAATTTTTAAAAAACCCAGATAACTTGTTGAAATATTTAGATGGCAGAAACAGGTAGCCCAGGGATTCAAGCAGGCAATACGCACAGTGTGCACATATTCCAATAAGAGACTGATCAATTACAGTCCTAAATATCAATGGGAAGATTCAAACAAATAATACCAAGTGAATTTTCATTTAATAAAGTACCAAATTGCGTCAATAAATTGATCAATAAATTTCGGTCTCAACGAAGGGATTTAATTATTAGTAATTTATTTGAAAAAAATCAGGTTGCAAATAAATTCTCTCCATTTAGCTTGACAGAGAATTGTTTCGTTATTAATGATTGAGACAATTATAAACTTTTGTACATCTTAACTGATATAAATAGATGATTGTACTTCTTTAGTCATATTTTCGCTTTCATCTAGCAAACATTTACAAATAATAAACTTTGTACATTGATTAAAATAAGTTTCTTAATGCTTTTGTTGATAATAAAATAAAGTTTACGAAGAAACATAGTTGTTAGAATGAAACTATTATCATTGTTAACAAAATCGATTGATCACTGGGTGGTGATCAATATCATGTGTGTCAGGTCCTTCTTAGTGCAGATCGAATCCTATCGATCATGTGGCCACTAGTCAAGGTGACTTGACATTGTGTGCACTGTGTTGAGATGAGGTAGTGGTTGGAGATAGTCAACAGGAAACCTTGGACCTAGGTTTCCTGCTATTTGGCACTCGTCAGCAAGGTGTACTTGTAGTCTTGAGGGAACTGATGCTCCCTGACGGATTCGATCCCGTGTCACCCAGCTTCACAGTCAGAGTTTTTAAGATATTGCAACTTGGTCGATAGGATTAGATCTGCACTAAGAAGGACCTAACATACATGATGTTGATCACCACCCAATGACCAATCAATTGTAAATACATCTCAGTCCTACAGGAAGTCAGTCACGGCCCGAATAGCCCAGTGGTAATGTCTCTGTCTGGGAAGCTGGATGACACGGGATCGAATCCGTCAGGGAGCATCAGTTCCCTCAAGATTATAAGTACACCATTTCGCCGAGTGTCAAATAGCACGAAACCTAGGTTCATGGTTTCCTGTTGACTATCTCCAACCACGATCTTATCATTATTAAAGTTTAAAACAATCACACCAAATTGTATTCGTTATCGAAATGACTATTTATTTCAAAAACTAAGATATCTTGTTAAGTATAGAACTTTAGTGAGAAATTCTTTATATCATCCATTAGTTAATAAATTTTATGTATTCGAGTAATTAATACTAATCCTAAGAAAAGAGTTCATTGAACGTAACCGATAAATAAAGTGTTATCCAATAATTTTAAAACTATTCTATTGTTATTTATATTCAAAAATGTTCAAATCAAAACAAATCAGTTAATTTTCATGAACGAGCATATATCTGATTGCATAATAATATGTTAAACATAATTACTTTGCAAAATTTATCTAATACTATTACAGGGTTAATGGCTTTAAGATTCTTCTGATAAATGATATATTGGATATCATTGAACAAACAACTACTGTTAATTAGATTTTAGATTTTAATCTGTCACAAAACATGTTTATTTTTACTAGTAAAAAGAAATTAAAATTTATTTGTATTTACTTTAAATAAAATAACAATTAGGATGCTGAAAATTTATCTTCAAATCATTTTTGGTGTCAACGTGTTCAACATTTCTGTTGTTTATCAGCTAGAAGATTAAAAGCTTGTCAAATTGGTTCAGATCATATTATTAAATATAATTCAAATAATTGTTCTACTAATGAATTTAATCATTTAATTGACAAGAGATTAACACCAATCGCTCGGGTAAGTTAAACATTCTATTCTTAAAGTGAGAGTTTCCGAATTATTAATTCTTCGATATTTTGATAAATTGATAGAATATTTAGATGGAGTTTTATTTTCTTAACCAGATGGTTTGATTATGGAGTTTACACTGTTTTTCTGGATGACATCATGAGCAAAAACTTCAGATAGAATATTATACAACTGCTGACATTAATCATCTTTCGTATTACTGACTAGTTTGCAGTCGTCAGTTGACCAATCTTTATAGCTCTTAATTAAAATAAATTGGTAAAAATTAGACAAAAAAGACATCTTGGTTAATATATTTAGTAATCACATGCCCATATACACAAAACATTAGAATACGAACTGTCGTGAGCTGATAAAATACAAATAACTAGTTAACATTAAAATTATACATTGTAATTGAACAGACATGATGACTTTAATGTTATGTACGAAATTGAACATTTCATGTCATCTTTATGTCTATTCAAAAATACCTAGTACTATCTCATTTTAAGTATTTTTTTCAAATTTTAGAATCTACCGTTATTCAGTTTTAATTGAGATTATGGACCGACCAATGTTAGACTACCATGTTGGGTGTGAGGTTGTCACTCACCGAAAACAATGGAAGATCGTCGTGCAAGATCGTGGATTAGTTCGAGTTGGATACAAACACCGTCGGATGCCGGCTCAGTGGTCTGAAGGTTAAGCGTTTACCTGTGAGACCGAATATCCTGGGTTTTAATTCCGTGTACAAGATTGTGGATAAGCATTTCTGAAGAGTCCCGTACTAGGAAAAACCGGCCATCCAGTACTTCCAGGTTTTCAATGGTTGTCTCACACTGTTTGGTTCATGATCTCAATAATTTAATTGTGGTTTATTTGAATATTGCAGAGCATTGTTTAACTTGAGAATAGTGAATATGGAGAATGTATTAGAAAATAACAACTAATGGTTCCATTAATGGTCTTGATTCTCTAAAAACTCATGAAGCTGACTGAAGATATAGTCGAACATTTAATATTTTATTCAAATAGCATTTTATCATGTAAACAGTCAGTCAATAACCAGTGTTTTACATTATATATATAATATTTAAACTCTACAATCTTTGAACTAACAACTTTAGACAATCTGTTAAAGTGAAACACGAATGTTGAATACTATCAAATAATGGGTTGATCCAAGTTTAGAGTACACCAACCGATTATTGAACAGAATTTCAAGATTATTGTATTAAAATCTTTGAAATGATTTCTTGAGTGTTTATGAGGTTGTTGAATAAAGCTGAGATTTTCAGATTAACTTTTAATCAGTTATTAATGTTTCACGATTAAATCGGAAGGGGGTTTTGTGGAGATTTAGTATTTGCATAGTTGAAAGCATGAGTCAATTGAAGCTAGACCACCATGGAAAACCTGGAAGCACTGGATGACCGTTTCGTCCTATTGTGGGACTCCTCGGCAGTGCGCAGCCACGACCTCGCCTCCTCGTGGATGTGCACTACAGAGGAGTCTTACAATAAGTCGAAACGGCCTTCCATTGCTCATAGGATTAAATGATGACATTCACTTATTTCAGTCTTACATATTTATTTAAATTCATGCATAATTTTAAATTTTTATTCTTTAGGAATGTTGTTTATGCCAGTTAATATGGCATAAAAGTTTATTAAATGAAAATAGTTTATTCAAAGATAAGCAGGAGTCTGTACAAAGTGCTTGCCCCAATGGAAATTGTTGTAGTTTTCTTAATAAGAGTAAGTTCAGTATCTTATGAATGGAATACATTTCTTTGTAAACAGTAAAAAGACTTCATCCTATATTACACCACTTGATTTTGAATCATTTTAGTTGATTTAATGCTCTGTCATTTTTGTAATACATTTTTCATCTACATGAAGGAAGAGTGAAATGTACGACTGAATCAGACTGAAAGTTTAGTAGGCTTGCAAAACATCTACCTGATAATCCAATGATTATAGGTACAGATCTATTAAAATTGGTATTTGAAGTTTTTAACATAAAGACAACCAGTGTAAACTAAGACGCACATTTTCAACATTATCTTATGTTGAGAGTTAATATCAAATCGACACTCATTGAAGTCAAAGAGCACTGGGTTTTTATTGCGTAGTAGTTTAAGACTATTCAGGAGTGTTCATCTTTTATCCAGAGTTAAAGTAAAGATAGTTATTTGCTGCTACCGGCACAATATGAATGAACTATGAAATAAGAATACAAATAATCATATCTCCACCTTCAATTAGTTGGTAAATTTGCGCTACAGTTACCTGACTAGACAATGATATCTCGCAGACCCTAGACGTAGTTGAAATCAACCATACCATCCTCAAATAATATAAAATTATTGTTTACAATTCTGTTCGATTAGTTTTTACCCTTATTTGAATGAAATGTAGTTATGGTGAAATAATTTATTAAATGCTCCAAAAATTGTTCAACTGATTTTCTTTTGTTCCTTGTTTCTAATAAATATTTAGTATTAATGGAAGATAATACAACTTCATCCAAATCACCAATGATCATGTCTGATGATCCCAATGTTCATAGAATTATAGCGGAATATTTGACTACAACTGAAGAAATTGCTATGTTGATGACCACTTCATCTACACCAGTTACAACGGAAAAACCAGTGGCAACGACAACAAGTACAACCACAACAGAAAAACAAATAACAGACGACGAAGATGACTTTTCGTTTAATCTTGTTGGAGGCATTGATTTACCAGATATTTGGGAAGAAACAGATATTGATAATATATCACTTACCAATAAAGCTACAAATAATCACACTACTGATTCAGTTACAACATCTACTCCTTCTACTACTCTTTCTTCAAAAACTGATCAGACTACTATTGCCAATTCTATCCCTTCTGTGGCGTCTACACCGGGGATAACGGTTACTGCCACTACAACTACTACTTCTAGTCCTACTTCTACGAGTACTTTGGCAAATGTCGACCATACCATAACCACTGAAGTGTCGAGCGAAACGACTCCTACTAGCTTAAAAGAAGTTAGTCACTTGGAAACTATACAATGTCAAGACAATTTTGTTTGGGATAGTGATCAACAGTTGTGTGTTCGACTAGTGTTCTCATGTCCAGTAGGAATGTATCTTAATAAGGAAACAAAGAAGTGTGTTCTTGAGTCAAAAGATAAATCAGATTGTCCTATAGGTTACAAGTTATCCACTACGCGAGATGAATGTGTAGGTAAGTAGTAAAAAACTTAAAAACGATGTGGTTTACTGACGAAAAATTGTTATCACTGTTGACGTCTTAAAGATCTTTTTGTTTTGGTGTAAATAACGTTTCTGTTTATAAGTGACCACACTGTAAAACAGTAGTTCTGGAAATGATAAGACAGTTTTTACGCCGAACTTATGAACATATAGTCATTTATTATCCGTGAAAATGGAGGTGACGAATAACTTCATATTGTAATTTATAGAGCTTGACAAATAAAATTCATTGTCGGAAAGGTATTTCTGATAGGTGTAAAACTAAACCCATAGTTTTCTGATGAGAACTTCTAATTACTGAATACCTATTATGATACAAGGTAATATCCATTCATATAACACGATTACTAAGTTTGATAGTAAATAACATGGTAACAGATACATTATCAGAGACAGACGCAGTATCTCTTCTTGCAGCAATGCCTGGTGTGCTACTCAATTAATTGGGTAGTATTGGTTCCCATATAGTCCTAGATAATTTACCTAATGAGAATGAAAAATCGGCTAAAACTGTTGTAGGGAGTTTTTATTCACTTTGTCCCACTGTTTAAAATCAAGCAAAACTATAACTATAAAATAGCCTCAGTAATACATTTGTTGTTGATGTATTGATTACAAATGATAAGTGTTTTTTATGTTAAAAAGTTTAAGAACCTACAAGTTGAGACATTCCCAAATACATGCTGTTCAGTAATATTTAATAATTAATTTTCAAAAACGTTCTTTTAACCTTATGTGCTATGTTATATAACATTGTACCGGGGTACTTCGTGTATGAAAACTAGTGGGGCAGTAAGTCTCATTTGCATCCGGTTGTCACCAGTTAAATAAACCATATGTGGCTTTCAATAAATACGATACTATATCGAGGTTTATACATTATTTAGTTCATATGTGACCATAATAATTAGATACCCTGGACAGTTAAATGACTCAATCTATAAGAGAAACATTTGCTTCTTAATATAACATTATTCAATATTTGTTTAGTGGTTATATATAGTATTAAAATAATACATGGAGTAAACACTTAACGATGTGTCGTTTGACAGAGCGACCACGATCAATGTATTTGCCATGGCCGTCTGTAGTATATTACTTTAATATTCATCAGATGAAATCGTACTGAGTTCATGTTCATACATGCAAATATTTTTTGCAGACGTGAAGAAATAAAGAAGATATTTTGAATAAATCATTTTTCCCATGTTTTAAATCGTAATAAAATTGTAGGAAATTTACATTAAGAATCATAAATAATATTCTTAAAACTTATATTTCTATTTGATTTAAACATATTGTTTGAATAGACATAAACGAATGTATTGAAGGTCTCAGCTCAGGTATACTACCGTGTAAAGGTGAAGGAACAAGGTGTGAAAACTTACCAGGATCCTACAATTGTTCATGTATTTCTGGATTTTCAATGGCTTCAGATGGGACCTGCGTTGGTATGTCGCACATTCAGTTTACTTTTAAATTTGACAAACTATCAGTTAGTATACTCTTTTACGGAAAAGTTTTGAAGTACTGTATAATACATATATATATATATATAACTTTGGTTTGCATTGGTTGTCCAGATACAATCAACACAATGTGTAAATCACAAAATTCTACATACTGTTAGAATCTATTGACTAAATTAAATAAGTATTTACTGTAAGCATTTTCAGCGGCGACTAATTTCTAGACGCATATTCTAAAGCTGTTATTTTAAGACGCGACTCGTAGAATGCCAATCAAGTAGATGTTGTTTTACTATCAAACTGGTGAGCTAAAGTTAGGATCGTTCTGTATCACCATTTGGTTAAAGTTCAAAGTGTAATCCCTTGAATTCCAATCCAATGACTGAGTGATATTGTGCTCCTCGTAAACCTTGCGCATTCTAGATTTGATCACATGAGAAGTTGTCAGTGTATAATGCAGATAAATCTAAACGTTAGGTGGAACATATTCGTTTTTTGTTACCTAATTTACAATAACTTTTTAGTTGATATCAATCTGTCAACAAAAACTAGCTATAGATAAATGTAAATAACAAAGTCACGATTGACCATACTACATATTGTTTACGTGTAATTGTTTCGAGGAAATATGTGGATAGAATTGACTCAGAATACACTTTCGAATAAAGTAGTGAGTGTTGATTATTTATTACCATTTTCTTACAACTGGATAATTTTACTGGTATTATCAGTGAGTAAGTTATTATGATCTTTCTAATAGCTAATCCATACAGAAAACGAGGTCTAAGCTAATCAAACCTATCAATAAGTAATTTATCATAGTTGATTTCAACTATGATAAATACTAAATCTCCACAAAACCCCTTCTGATAATAAGTAATTTATTCAAATAAAGTTATCTCCAAGACACATTGAAGCGCTAAAGGTTTACACTCAAAGTGAATAATACTTGTTTTCCAGAAGAATTTAAATCAAATGGCCAAATTTCAAAAAATCATTCAGTCGTAATAACATATTTTGTTGAACGTTGGGTTACGTATCCCCCCTAATTGTTTTAATTACCTCTAAAATAATCACATTTTTGATTTTATCTGTCTTTGAACTCCACTCAACTATTACGCCACCCTTCATTCTAATACCTAATAACCTCTGACCTTTCCTTGCCCATATATATATATAGTTATCATTGATGAATTTTGTTATTCTAATCCTTTACATTCACTTATGTCAGTCGTTCCAACCTATTTATTACCCCAATGCTAAAACTCTAATGCATATTTGGTTGTAAGCAGCTGATGAGAAACCACGACATATAATGAATTCATATTATTCTGCATCAATATTTGTTCTGTCTTTATTTAAATAACTTACTGTTTGCCATTATCAATAATATATATATTCTGATAGTAATAATTACAAAATTCCCACCAGTTTACAGGCATAATCAATTTGATATAAATAGCAATATTAGATGTAGAGAACAAACATGTGATATAAGATTGTTTTAAGTTTGCTAGTTCAGTAATTGTTAAGTAGTTTATTTATGACATGTATCACGGCAATCCAATGTATCATCAGGGAACTTTTAATTTTTTCTTAAGTGGGTAGCTTGATGATTTATGAACGGTATTCTTTAAGGTTATTTTTAGTGCCAGGATGAATTATTGATAATTATCTACAACTAGAGAAAATAAAATTAAAACAGAGAGCACGGAATAACAAAGCAATGATTGCCAAAATATGTCGGTCAGGTTTACCACTGTTTTCTTTTTAGTTATTATTGAAATAACTTAAGGTTGTTAGGGACATTGGTAATGTAAATTGACAGCAGATAAGTGGTTAAACACTTGTGGAGTAAGATACACTTACAGGCGCTAGAACATTTAATGCATTTTCAGAAGAGCAGTATGCATCAATGCAGCGAACAAACAATCGGAGAGATTTTATGGATTGTGGTAGATTATTCCAGAGCCTAGAAAATTTACAGGTAAAGTAATTCATATAGAAAGAAGATCTAGAATATGTTTGTTTCGCCAGTGACAGGCATTTTCGAATGTCGTAATCAGAAGTTTCTGCATATTGAATCGCTTGGTTAGATGTAAAGGATAGTTTGTTAAGTATTTCGAAGAAGAAGATTTAGTTTGAGTCTCCCCCCTTTGTATTGTTTAACTATTGTGTTATTGAGCTGTCATAGGATTAAAACCAAAACTTAACTAGTTTAAATTAAACTTAAAAAGATATCTATTATTTAATAGAAATAATTTTTGTACTTCAATAATATTTATTCACTTAAGAATTTCATTTTTCGAATACTTGAATTTCAAATAATCTGTTCGAATTCTTTGTTTCTATTAGAAACTATAACAAAATAAAATAAACATTGACATCGTAGTTAACCTGGTTCAATTGTCAATGTTATATGTAATTTGACAGTTTTAAAATAATCAGATCAAATCACCCAATTCTTATCAATTTTGTTTTAATTTTTTTAAATTAGGCTTCATAGATTTGTAATTTAACGATAAATATTTAAATTACCTATTCTATATATTTAAAATAGACTAAATGCTAACTTAAAGAGGAAGATATATTTTATAGGAGATTAGATTAGAATTCAATATTCAAAAAGAAAGTTAATTTTGTTTTTAAAAAATTTGACTAATTTTTTTTCTTATATTTCAAATAAAAATCTAATTTTGAAGTTAGAAAAAATGAGTGAAATGACAACAACCAAAAGGGGTTTATTTTTCCTAGTAATTCTAAATTCATATCTAATAATGTCAAGGTAATCATTTACTTTTTATGTAATACACTATTTGAGTTGTTTGTGGAGATTTTTTACTTATTTTTATATATACTTGAAATCATGAGTCAATTGTAGCTGCTGAGGAGTCTCACAACAGGACGAAACGACCGTCCAGTGTTTCCAGGTTTTTCATGGTGGTCTAGCTTCAATTTACACATGATTTTAAGTATATATTAAATATAATACACTAATTGTTTAATTACTTTACATTTGTTTTTAAAACTAAAAAGAAATTTTACTATTGAATTAAACTAGATATTAATGAATGTACATCAACTTATAATCCTTGTCTTGTTGGTCAACAATGTCGTAATTTAATTGGTTCATATCAGTGTCTTCGTGAAGTCCCATGTGGTTACGGTTATGTATTGAATCCTAGAACACAACAGTGTGAAGGTAAGTATTAAAAAAACATGCTCTTCATAAATGTTTTTCCACAATTTTATTTAATATTTATCCGTAAAAGTATTTTTTTTGTTATAAAACAGCAAAAATGAAGATTTATTATTCGCATTGATTTTCATAATAAATATTACCGACAACCTTGTAAATGATGACAAACTATCGCATCAGTCTTTTATTTATTCAATCACCCCATAAATTTAGGCTGAAGGCTCCTTCAGCCTTTATGTACCATAGACATAAAATGTGATTTATAACTTATTGTGAACCTGACGCTACTGGTAATAAGTTCAATTCCAATTGTTAATATTAACACTGCAATACAAGTACACTCGATTAACAGGTCCTAAATGAGATAAATTCTGTTCCATGGCTTCCATCACTTGGTACTGTTGTGATGTGGTCTACTTATATCCATATAAGTAGTATATGGTGTTGGTCAGACATAAAATGTATTTGGGCAGAAGACTGATGAGGAAAGAACTGAAACGAAGCACAGTCGGTAGGAAAATGCACGAACAATAATATTAGAGAAGAAACAGTGAAGATCGAGACTATTGGTTGTTAATTTGCAAATTGACTGTCCATTGTATGGTTTTCAGAATTTACTGAGATAGTTTGTAATTTTTGCTTAAATACATTTAATTGTCCCCAACCAGTGTTCTGTTCAAAACACTGTTAAAAATATAACCGATCTGTAATAAGCTCTTGACTCTGTTTACCAATAATATTCCTTTTAATTGAATAGTTTCTTAACAAAGCAGTCATTGTGTTACTTATACTGTTGAATAAGATTTTACTATGTTTTAGAAACTCTTGGAATCAAATAATGTATAACAAGAGCACACACATAAAATTATCTTTATTTATGTAGAAGTTAATGTTATATGGAGAAGGATTAAATGCAAAAGAAGTGTTCAAGAATACGTTTTGGAAATTATTCAAATTTGATGACAAAAAAATTTTATTCACAGAAGTTAGGAACAGTTAGATTTCTGTATACTTTCGTTGGAAATATTTTACGTCAACCCGTGATGTAAATTAAATAACCGATGAAAATGAATGAGCATAAGAAAACTGTTTTTAGTAGATTTGGGATGATTATCTATCTGTACCTACATTCTAGCGTGGGATCGGACTAGGAGAACTATCTTCGGATAGGAAATCCTCTAGAAACATTATTTTCTACTGACAGCTCTTTATTTCATTCTTTAACAATATCAATGTTTTCCTTCTGTTTATTATTTGTGCAAGTATTGTTTTATCCCTAGATGTTGATGAATGCAAAGTTGATCCGCTTATATGTGGTAAAGGTATGGCATGTATAAATGTTCGCGGAGGTCATAAATGCGTTGATTATCATTGCCCTGGAAATGCAAAGTATGTTGGCATATATTTATATATAATATTTAGTTATGCTTAACTTAAAAACATAATATTAATGGTTTTTTGAATAATGAAACTTGTTCTTAATTGACAAATTAAGAAACACAGTCTCCGGAATAATGGTTGGTAAGAAACGAAAGAGTTGACCAGGACATACATTGAAACACACAAAATACTAAACCCGCAAACTAACAGGATTAAAAATTATTTGCAACGTAAGCTATTGTAAAATGTTAGTTTTGTTAGTCTCTCAATGGTCCATGGAAATAAGTCTTAACCGACTACTACATTTTTTCTCCTTATATATATATTGCGCATTTTGTATCAATATTCAATTCGTATCCGTGTAATTGTACCGTAGTATACTGCATTGAGCAGCCTCTGTTTCCGTAACAATAAATGTTATTGATTAAAAGAATGCTTTATGAATAATAAAGAAGTATGAGGCTAAATTGTGCTTAAGAATTTTTTAAAAACGTTGTTAATTATATATTAAATCAGTGAATTTTAAAAGTATTTTCGAAAAGTATATTCCTAATTGTATTTCAACGTCTTTATTAATAATCCATTCTTTGAAATCTCATTTAAAACTCTTAAATACAGACGAAACAAAGTTGGTGATTGCGTTCCATGTCCTACAGGATATGTATACAATGCCTCAAGCGGAATATGTGATGGTACGTAATAATTTGTTTAATATACATTTATTAGGTAAAAAGTCAATTTATCTTAACAGTGGTTTGAATGACAAAGATATAATGTATATAATTTGTATCGTTTTAGTGGCTTACATTTTGAGATTATAAACTAAGTTAGTAGTATCGAATACAAAATATCTTTACCCTAAACTCAAAGAAAAAGGTTATTTAAACAAAACATGAACCAGAGTGATCCTCACACTATACAATATCTGAGCCATGATACTATACAGAAATGATTGATTGTAATGATAGTCAACACCAAAACATAAACTTTATCAATGTAATACATATTGTTTTCAAGCAATGCTTTCCTAAGTTATATTTCAACAGAATTTAATGTAAATGATACAATAGTAGCTTATGTATATATTAACTGTTAGTAGTTACAAACTCTTGTCAGCTTCATCTCTCTGTGCTGATAAGGCGTTCTGTAATTGTGTTACATATATATATATATATACATGAATCGTAAACTGTGACTCAAAAATCGGGAAAACTGAAAGGAATACATTTGATTTGTATACAAAATACGTTATTCTGGATAACAGAATTAGCGAAAAGAATATACAGTTAATTTTTTAAAGCAAATTACTTTGTTACCAATATTTCCAATTCTATTGATAGTCTTATATACTATTTTCAGGATAAAGTTTATATGAAGAAACTCAAATTAGACACACTTAAGTCGATGTTTTGATCTGTCATTTTTCAGTGTCTGAATAGTTTATATTCTTATAAGTGGCTGTGAACAAAAGAGTGTATGCTTCAGAAAGATATGTTCCCATTTATTTCATCTTTGGGTTTGATAGCTGTAAATCTATAGATATGTCAGAACAGGAGAAACGTTTAATAGTCGCTGTGTAGTTCTAACTTGGGGGTTACGAAACTAGCTTAGGGTTCGAATATAGCGTTCAATCTACAAGACTTATCATCCAGGATACAAGATAATAATCCTCAAAGGTATATTATCGAATCTTACACCCAATGCGTATAATGTATATCTCAATCGTTCCTATATACGAGACGTACCTAATTTATGAGGCATCTTAGCTAATCCATATGTTATTTTTATAAACCTACTAACCTTAACATTACATTCCTAAGATATATCATATTGAAATAATCCTACCCTATAGATTATAATTTGTCACGTTACAGTGTAATTCTTTCACATCTTTAATATTATATTCCAACTTTGTAATCAAGTTTTGTAAGTATTTATGGCATAAAAACACGTGAATACCACTATTCTCATTGTGTAACTAAATAGTTTTATCATAAATTTTCATATATGCTTAATATTGACAACTAAAATTCAACGTTTATAGATTTAATGCTGTCTGGTCTGTGAATCAAGTCATTTAGAGTGATTGTTCACCTAAATACTCTTAGTATTTTATTAATTTACTGTAATCTATAAACACTTTTTTGTCTATTTCAATAACCATTGTACTGAAGTTAAATTATTAAGTTACCAGAGGGGATTTTTGTGGAGATTTCAGTAATTGTATAGTTGAATTCATGAGTCAATTGAGGCTAGACAGTCATAGAAATCCTGGAGGCACTGGATGTCCGTTTTGTTCTATTCTGGGACTCCTCAGCAGTGCGCATCCACGATCCCACCTTGTGAGATAGAACAAAACAGGCGTCCAGTGCTTCTAGGTTTTCCATGGTGGTCTAGCTTCAATTGGCTCATGAATTCAACTATAAATTATTAAGTTTAAATTTAATTTAAAACAAGCGTTCAACGATCATATTTATACATTGAACAAACTGACATTGGTTAACCTTTTATTTCAACCTATTAACTAAATACAAATGAATTTATTACTGTGCCAATTAGATTGTTTTTATTTTTATGATAATTGTGTATATGAGTGATATACATTTTTTGTTTTGTTATAAATATTTCGTATTTTAAAAATAAATTTACCCAGTGAATGTTTTGTTTATCTAATCAATAAGAATCTTTTATATTTACAATAATCTAACACATATAAGAACTTTCGTCTAAATTAGAGCGAATAGTCTCAAAGTATTTGGCACCGAGTTGATGTAAGACATTAAATAGGAATAATATATTTGTAAAATCTAAGTGAATGAATTTGAAGTCAATCCGACTTACACCTGGCAATCTGGTTCCTTGAAAAAGCTTGGACCAGATTGCCAGGCGAAACGTTGGATTGACTTTAAATTCATTCGCTGAGATTTTACAAATATATTCATTCCTACTTAATAATCGAAAACGTTTTTGATCATTACATAATTTTATTGATCATTATTTATTTGTTTTTATTTCTTTTACTGACCGGATGAAAAATTAAATCATCGAAATATATAAATATGATTAATCAATAAATTTGATTTAGGAAACTGAGAAACAGTAAGCTTTATCCTAAAAACAAAATTAAAGGTATAAAATACTATAGTAAATAGATTATAATTATTATAATAGAATAGGTTTTGGCATAAATATAAGCCAAATCATAAATGTTAACATTTTTGTTTTTTAAGTTTCTATTTAATCTCATTTTATACAAATAAAATGTGAATAGTGCAAGATTTGTGTAACATAAATCTAAAATCAGAAACGAAATTATACAATACATAGATGAAAGTAATAGTAATATATTTCTTTCATTAAAATTCTATATGAAAGTTACGTGAATCATTTTTTAAGGGCATAAACAATATGTTTCTTTTAAAATGTGTGCTGTACTATTTTAGTGTAATTCATAATTTATGTGTACGGAAGAAATTTGTAATCCCCCTTATCCCTTCCATGGCCGGTCATAACAAATGATATTATTATTATTATCATTTTTAAATTTTATTTTTAATTTTGCTATCATTTGTTTGTAATTTTCCGCCTCTTCCCGTTTCTATTCTTCACTATCTAATTATTTACATACTTCTTATTACGTAATGATTTTAATGTTTTGTGAACACTATTCTAAATCTATTTACACAAGTTTGACCTCCTATTTCTAATGTTTAACTATTAATAAGACTTTTGTTATCGTAATTTAATGTTCTTACTGCTATCGGTACACTTGTCTTCTCACTATCAACTTGTACTTTTACCTATTATGCTCAGTGACGTATTCTATTTCATTGGGATTGTTGACTCAAATAGCCTTCATTGGTCTAACATTTTCGTATAAATATTCATGTATATGAGAGTAAAGTCTGATGATGATCTAGTCGAAAACAATTATTCGCTTACATGAGTTGTTCTAATTTTTACAAATGTATTCATCAACACATTTAAACGATTTATATTCAACGAACATATAAGATGGTACTAAACTAAAAAATCATTTTCTGAAACATAATAAATACCGAAAGTAATATATTGTATGACCAATTAAAATGAAGGTAATATACCAAAGAAAAGATGTTGTTGAAAAGAAATATTTTTCGCTGAACTGTCTTTATCCAAGTAGAAATGAACAGTGTCAAGCAAAGGAAGACAGGATTTACTTTTACCTCCATTTGCAACTCGTCAACTGCATGTACCTAAATTCCGGTGTTGATAATGCATTAGGTATTTGGAGAGAAAGGTAATGAGTCAAGAGTCCAGGTGTGAACAGTAACACTGGGCTGCAGGTATATCCAGCTAACGAGCCAAAAATAGGACAAAATGAACTTTCCAGATTCCAGTGCTAATCACCATCCACTCTTATTTATGTATGTTAGATCGGCTTACAATAAACTCTATCACAGCCTCCAGAGAGGCTCATAAAGAGACCAACCAATCAGCGATCAGTTAGAAGCTATGCTACTAAAATGCTACTAAAATAACAAGGTCCTGATTGGCTGTTAACATACTGTTACTATGGGATCTCAAGGTCTTTTAGCTACTATAAAACCCCTGTTTTTCTGTACATAATTGAACCTTGTAGTAAAGTGCTTCTCTGATACTCGTGTCTTCTCTCTGGTCTTCCAAGTCGCTGAGTAGTGCTAGCCTGGGGTTATCCGAATAGCTAGGATCCGAATAAAACGTTCAACTTACGAGTCATAACAATTGGCGACGGGGATTCTGGAAAAAAATACAGCAGTCGGTAACGTATTTTGGAATTAAATAAGCTGTAATAATTGCCGGCGGTTTTTGGAGTTATTATTAGCAGTAAAAAAATGACGATTTCTCTGGAACAGTTGCAGATAATATTAGAGCACCAGCATCAGCAGATGTTAAGCTTCCAGCAGAAACTATTTTAAACATTTTTGGACAAATTTTTCACTAAACAAAACGTCTCAGGAAATAAAGAATTTATTTATAATGCAGATAATGGTGCGGAAATGGCCGTCTCAGAAGAACGCCAAGTTGAGGGTTCAATTCCCTTTATATCTGACGGAAAATGCAAAATTGGTAAGTTGGCCGGTTCAGAGCAAGACAATATCTTGCCTAATGCACATGAAACTGTGACAGTATCAGATGAGCAAGAAAAAGAAGGTTCCGCAGACAACCCCAGGAGTCCAGAATCAAATGAAACACCATTAAGTCCGCCCATATCTGAAGACAAACTTAAGTCAGAACAGAACTACGGTTTGCGTGATGTTGGCCAAGAAAACTGGAAGAACGCATGTCCAGAAAATAACTGGAACAGTACAGTTAACCAAATTGCGCCAAATGTGATTCGAAATCATGGGGAGACAGAAGCCTATAATATGGGTTCGCGTAATGATGCCCATAATTCTGATGAAATTTCGTATAAAGATGAGAAAACTAAGTCGGTCGAATCAGATGGTGATCAAAAATCTAATTCTAATTTATTAGATGCCGATTCTCCTAGTTATCTAATATCCTCTAGTGAAAATTTTAATGAATTTGATGGAGATATTTCAGAAAAGCTGAATTCCGATAACCTAAAATCAAATATCGTTCATCATCATCTATTCATTTCTAGTAGATTCTGCGTTCAATACGAGAAATATGTCATACTTATTGTATTTTGGAGATATAAAGATCCAACATTATTTCGTGGGGGAGGAAATGTTGGAGAATTTCAACTTACAGATAATTTTCTAAAAAATCAGAATCTAATTTTCGAATCTTCAAAAAAAAGGGAGGTGTTAGATCGGCTTACAATAAACTCTATCAGAGCCTCCAGAGAGGCTCATAAAGAGACCAACCAATCAGCGATTAGTTAGAAGCTATGCTACTAAAATGCTACTAAAATAACAAGGTCCTGATTGGCTGTTAACATACTGTTACTATGGGATCTCAAGGTCTTTTAGCTACTATAAAACCCCTGTTTTTCTGTACATAATTGAACCTTGTAATAAAGTGCTTCTCTGATACTCGTGTCTTCTCTCTGGTCTTCCAAGTCGCTGAGTAGTGCTAACCTGGGGTTATCCGAATAGCTAGGATCCGAATAAAACGTTCAACTTACGAGTCATAACAATGTACCAGTGATTTAATATCTAAATCTGAGCATTGTGCTAATGATGCACATATGCTGAAAGTGACTGATCCAAATTCAGTGCTAGAAATAAATAATGGTAAAATTATGATAATCGTAGATAAAAAGTGGCTTCGTTTTACTTAAACTAAATATCAACATGCCATTTATCGTCTGCTTTATGAATCAATGAGAAGTAATTTGACGCTTGACATTAGCTGATAAATCACTGAAAACTACGAAACACTAAGAAACGAATTACGAAAGATGTGGATTCATTATGACATCAGCATGTGAGTATACACACGCAATGAGTCTCAGATTAGGATGAAAACTTTACTGAGCGCTGTCTGATTCTCACCATTTCTTAAGCTGGCATCGGTTTTTTATATCAAGAAAATTAAAATCAAACGAATCTATACAAACTTCCGATAATACTAAAAGTGAAACTGTAAATATTTAAACAATTCTTAGAAGCTTGAAATCCGTTTTAATAACTGATACTTATTTTAAAGTAAATTCTAATCACACTCCATCCAATATCAGTTCATAGTGAAAATTGTTTTAAATCGTATTAAAGCTTCACAAAACAGTTTTAACAAACTATAGTTGTATAACCACCAACAATCTGCTTCATGATCAGTTTCTCTAACTTTTAATGAAATAGTTTTTCATAAAGTCACTCAGCTCTACTAAACCTGGCTGACTGATATGTGTAATGAAAATAAAATAGTAAATAAACAGCAAATTAGCCCTAGGTTACGGAGATTACTTTCATTTATCATAAAAGTATGGATAAAAGTTCAAATAACCCTTGCTTTATTGATCAGAAGGTTTTCAACCCAAGACTTATCGATGTTATTTGTAAACAAAAGATTCATGCCGTCTAGAAAGAACCAAAAATGAGGTTGACAGTTAACTTATACAGTTTAGTTATGGGAAATTTTTATCAATGACATTGTGAATGCTATCAAAAACTTATATTAATAACGGTCAAAAATGAGTCTATTGAAAGTGAGATGAAAATCAGACGTAAATTGAAAAGTATCAGAGTGATTACATTAATAGTACACCATTATCTGTGCTACGAGTATAATCTCCATGACAATAAACAATAAAGTGTGAAAAAGTCAAATTTTCTATCCATAAAGTGATTCGCTATGAAAGTTGATTTAGTAATGTTTTCCGACTACAATCTTAATGGTTGCGTAAATTTTTAGAGTTTACTAGCATTAGACTATTATTCAACTCTCGAACAGTATGTTAACATGAAGAGGCAAAAGAAAAACAGCATAATTTTCTAGTCCACTTGTGAAAATTAACTCTTGCATCAGATTGCTTTCATCGAATAAATATGTCTTGAATGGATCAATGTTAGACAACCATTGAAAACCTGGGGACATTGGACGACTCCTCATCAGTGTGCATCCACGGTCCCGCACACAGGACTTGAACTCATGACCTTCGATCTCGCGCGCCAAAGCTTAACCGCTAGACCACTGAGCCAGCAATGGTGCTCCAACATTGATCCATTTATGATATCAATTTAAACTCAGCAATATCCATAACCTTATGCTGATAAAAAGATCTTGATTTCAGATTTAGAATGAATAGTGATTGCTGGCTGTTGGATATTTTATGAATAAAAACAGTATATATATATATATATATATATATATATATATATATATATATATATATATATATATATATATATATATATATATATATATAAACATTATTCATCTCACTGGAAAGGATAACTTTTAAAAGGAATACGTACAGGTTATATGAACTAATTTTCATAAATTTTTCTTTTCTGTAGATATTGATGAGTGTCAACAACCGAATAAATGCAGATCTTGGGAGAAATGCGTTAATGAACGTGGCTTCTTTTTATGTGAAGCTAAATTAAACTGTGCTCATGGTACACGAATTAACACCAATGGTACAGAATGCCTAGGTAAACTGTTGAAATAACATGAAACTGTTTTCTTTTGTTATCACTTATTTATTTCTACTATGTTGATATTGCATTTATTTGTTAATTGAACAAAACTACTTACATCGTTTATGATTTAAAATAAAGGATATAAGTAAAAACTGAACACAAACACTATCTATTGAAGACTAAATAACATGGTGTAGTTATATTTGTTTACTAAACCAGAACAACTCACAGTGTGACATTTATGCTTTTATTCTACTTTTTAGTCTACGAGTATACAAACAAGTTGAAATAAAAATATATTACTTAAAATTAGGAAATCCTTAATACCTATAGTGAATGTTCATGGTTTGTGAGTTTGTCATGATTTATACTGTTTCTTAACCTTAATATCAAAGTATATCAGCCCCTAGATTATCGTCATTTGAATAAATAATCCTTTACAACATTCTACAAAGTTTAAATTATCATTGTTTACTTCTTCGTCTACAGGAGTATTTGTTATACTCTATATCAATAACTACATAATCAGCCTAATAGTTAAATTTCTTGCACTGAAATTATGTTATTTCTAATTAAAGATGGTGAAGACAACTTTCTTTTTGATCAAGCCTAAGAGTGTACTTACCATATAAGTGTCTCAATATAAGTTACATGAAGTTACATTCTCATGTTTGATTAGTTTAGTATTTTAAGCAAATTTTTATGTATAAATATGTCTATACTCTTGGAATATTTTTTATGGCATACAAACTAATGAACAATGAGAATCTTCTGTCAGTTGCCGAATATAGTTAATTATTTACTGAAAACCATGATGGAAGTATCGTAGCACATTCAGCCATTAAGTCTAAATATAACTCTGTGAGAAAAAACAAATGTTTAACTTGAATGAGTGGTGAATTAAAGTTATTTAAAATTTACTTATGAAAATAACTTCATCTTTAGGAAATCATACAGCATTATATTTGAAATATCTGAGGATAAATATGTGAACATAATTACTAGAAGTACTTTGAAGAAAACAAACTCAAACTGTTCCTGAATGTTATTTGTTTATTTTAGATATAGATGAATGTTTGGAAAAAAGCTTTCATTGTGATGATGGGAAAATATGTGTTAACACCTTAAGTTCATACTATTGTACAGAATCCAATTGTACTGTAACTCAAATGTAAGTTCTCTTTTATTGTACATGATTGCTTTCAAAATATATTTCAAGATATTTTAAGTTTTAACACTGAAAAGTTACCAGTGCAACGCAAAGATTTTAAAAAAACATTATGCCTTCATGAAATCCACTGTGGAAAATCTGATCATACATTCACTTATCAAAACATTTTGTATAAAAACTATGAAAAATTATCCTCACTAGAGGGATTTGTGGAGATCGCAGTATTTAAAGAGTTGGATTCACGAATCAGTCTAAGCTAAACTACCATTGAAAAGCTGGAAACACTGGATGGCCGTTTCGTCCTAGTATGAGACTTCCCAGCCGTGGGCATCCTCAAACCGACACTCGGGAATCGAACCTAGGACCTCCGGTCTCGCCCAAACACTTGACCTCTAGACTACCGAGTCGGCATTCTACAGTGTTAATGTCTAGCTTCAGTCGACCCACGATCTTGCGCAACCCATCATCCATTATCTGAGATATATAACTGTTTCACACCCGACGCGTATTGAACTCCACTGGTCACGGCTTCTCACTAGAACTCCAGGGCATTCATCTCAAAGCTAGTCACTAGTTAGCACATGATTATTATCAGTACGGGGATCATGGATCAATTATAGTTAAACATCAACACTGTTCGATGCCAGCTCAGTAGTCTGACACATTTATCAGCTTGATTTCTTAATAATCTCAATACTCTTAGTTTGCCAAGTCTTTTGTAACTTACGTTTATCATCCTATCAACAAAAAGAAGTGTCTAACACCATTTCGACTTTTTGTTTAGATATGATTATCAAGAAAGAAAGTGCACTTGTGAAAAAGGATATCGTATTCTCGAAAACGAATGTGTAGGTGAGTGTATTATGCATACCAAAATTATAATTCACACTGTAATACAATCATCTAGTTACAATTTTTTTTGTAAATATTTTTGAATGAAATCTGTCTATTTTCGTCAGACTGAGAATCCTGTAGCCGGTTGAGGCAATCCCTATCCGGATCAAAAAGCCAGAGCTTTGCATCCAAAAGAAATAAGTTCAGCTGCTCCTTTTACCCTGGCCAACTTCAGAGCCAACTTCTTAATGATCGATTTTATATTATGGTGATGTAATTTGATTAACGTTCATTTTAAATCCTAAACTTATTTTATCTACACATCTTACTATTATTAATATTATTATTATTACACTTGTTAACCTTTAAGAGAAATTGTTTCAACATCCACCCCTGTCTATTATATCTGACCTATAAGCAAAGATGGATAGTGGCTAGAAATGGAATCCAGGATGCGCGTTTCGTCCTATTTGGGACACGTCGTCTGGATGTACCTGCATCTCTGAGTTAGTGTTCACACAGGAACTCAAACTTAGTACCGTTTGCTTCAAACGCCATCGCGTTATCCACTTAACTACTGGGTTTAGATAGCCACTAGCTTGTGTAATAGGGTGAATTAAAATTCATTTTTGTATTAGTTGTTTGAATCTTCCCATTAATGTTCAGGACTGCAATTGATCAGCCGCGCTTTTCGTCCTATATCGAGGCAATACGCACAGTATGGACATATACCAATGAGAGAATGATCAATTGCAGTCCTGAACATTGTTGGGAAAATTCAACCAAACAATACCAAATGAATTTATAACTGAACTTATTCATATTATTCTACATATTACGTAATTTCTGATTTGTAATTCCATTATTCTCTCTCACTCCATGTCAACTATATTTGTTTCGATCATTTATCTCACAATTTTATTTCACTTATAAACTGATTCAAATTAACACTTCATATTAGTTATCCCAATATTAACGATTCGATCAGATTTTATATTACAAGCATTCCTTGATTCAGATGTTACAATGTTGAATGATGTGCTCTGACTTAAACTTGACCAATTTTTTGTAGATTGTTAATTTGGATTTATAATTGTTAAATCTGATAAGAAATTATCAAAAAGAATATTCTTCGTTCATATAATATTTTCTATATTGAATAATGTTTTGTTTCTGTTTAACACAGATATTGATGAATGCTCTGAAAACAAGCATAACTGTACCTACGACAGTACTTGTATGAATCATATCGGAGGATTTCGCTGCGTACGAATAGAAGAATGTCCATCAGGTTTTAAACGGAAATCTCAATTTTCAAGATGTGAAGGTGAGTAAATTTGTTTTTTAAATAACTAATTATATTTTAAAAAAAGTTTTCATAGTAAAATCAATCCATAAATGTCACATGAATTTCCCTTTAATCTAATGACTTTCAAGGGTTTCAACGAAATGAACAAATAAATTAAAAATGCATTTTTCATTCATTAATTCGTCACTTTTATATATCTCGATTCCTTTTATGTTGACTTCATTATTTCAAATTTACTTCAGTCTGGTATTTGAGAAAATTAGGTAAACTATAAAAATATTTATTTCATTAGTCTATTATCAGTTAGAAGTGTATAATGTGTTATGGGCGTTTCCACTCCAATCACTCTCTGTTCTCGTTCCGTTTTCTTTGATCTTCTTAACCTTCTGCCGCCAGACATTTCATTTTTGATTGATGATATATGCTAAGTATATCTGTCGACATTAGTAGCACACACCACAATGCATTTCAATGAAGTTGATTTTTAGCCCAAGCCATCATCAAGCTGACTGAGGTTGAATTAACGGTTATTACATAGTCTCACAAGAAATTAAAATGTTTATCATAAGATTCAATTTGAAGAACATATAAGACCTTTGATAAAAAGGCGTAGTTTTACTAATAACAAATGGAATTAAATGCTACCAAGTTTGAATGAACTTGAAATATCCTAGTAACAGTTTTGTTGGCAAACGTTTTCTAACACGCAAGTCTTAATCAAGAATACACTATATCAGAAACAACTAATTATAAGGATTCCAGAGGATTACAACATTGAACAAAATAACGACTTACAAGAAGTAAGTACCTAGTGGTTATGGACGGCATATGACTTTTCTTGGTGACTTGACATAATTAGACTTAGTAGGAAAATTATGACGATATATTACAGTGACGAGTATAAATTAGTCGTCGAAAATGAAATATACTTTATGAAACCTAAATCATAATAAATTAACGTAATTGTAAGTAAATTAAAGGTGTATGCACTCTCTTTTTTAACAAAAACGAATACAAAGAATTACTGTTGACTGAGGGTAGTATGCAGAAGATTGAAATAGTTTAATATTTTTGGAATCCTGTTAGGTAGTGATTAAACCTGTAGGACAAATATCATTTAAATTTATTTCACTAGTAAATTTGTCCTTGAATGAATGATATCAAGTTTTTTAGACTGATTAACACTCGGTGTATCAAAAGTAATTTATTAGATAAAATTTATCATTTTTTCGCAAAAAACTCAGTGTGAGACATGTCAGCTTAGATGGAATAAACTCTCATTTCCACTTATTACGCCTTAATGGAATCCCCTTTAGAATATCAGTCCCTTCAAGCTTCCAGATGGGTCTTGATCAAAATGAAATGTGAGTCCGGATAATTCAAATAACTTGCCAAAAAAATGAAATCCACTGTTATAGCGAGTCAAATAGTCCGATGGACAAACTATAATATGGTAGAAAGGACTCGACCTGTGCTACGGACTGGACATTAAGTACTCGAGAATTACTGACTGGCCTATTAGTGGATAGTGAGATATAATATTTATTTATGCCTCAATAAGAGTTTCTTAGTTAGGTCTACTGCATTTAATATTCACATTCTGACTGACTGGAATCCATAATCTATCGTTTCAAACTTTTATATAGATATGAATTTTTGTCGTTGTGGTCCAGTTAATAAAGAATGAATGGCCTAATAATATACAAAATCTACTCAGTATAAGGAAACAAATGTGTGGCTTAAGGATATATTCCCTGTTTACATTCTTTAAAGTTAGATAGTATACCACACATTCATATATTTTGTTTCAATTCCAATTAGACGTAAATGAATGTGAATTGAACATAGACAGTTGTGGTGCTCACACATTTTGTAAAAATACTATTGGTTCTTATCAGTGTATATGTAAACATGGATATAAAAATATTAATGAAACGGATTGCACAGGTTAGTTTACATTTCAAATAATGTGCCCTATATTTTTTAAAGCTTACACGTTTACACTGTAAACAACTATCATATTATTGTTCAATCTTGGAATAGGTTTCAGTCAAATTCATGAAATGGTATCCTGATAAGTGTCGTTTTAAATGAACATCAGCGTACGATTTTGCTTACCAAATTATCTTGTTTTAATGAAAGCTTGAAACGAAAATCCGTCCATCTTTGCTTATCATGCTTGTGAATCAAGGCTATATCGAGGCAATACGCACATATGCCAATTAGAGACTGACCAGTTGCAGTCCTAACAAATTGATGGGAAGATTCAAACAAACTATACTAAGTGAATTGAAAATCTGTATGGTTAACAAATTAGAAATTCCTCATTATCCTTAATGTTCAACATTTTTTGATGGAAACAGGGATCATGTAATCTAAGGCATCCTATCTAACTTTCGATCATGCTTTCACCAATATCTAATAGAATCTATGGTGTTTTAAAAGCCTAGAAATCATTAATAGACTTCACCCAAAATCTCAAAGAAACTATTTTTTTATCTCACTTAATCGAATATTCGTTGATCTGTGCTGCAGTTGGGCACATTAACATTCAGTCAATTATTCTCCGAAGGACTTCATCATTAACCATAATTTTTAATCGTGAATAAATAATTTAACTATAGATTTCTCAATAATCTCTCTGCTTTTTGAATACCTTCGTGAATGATCATTTGGTGAAGGGTTTAAAATTTTGATAAGCAACATTTAATGCACTGGTGATAATTGTAAATGATTTGGTTTTGAAGCACAGCGTGTTTAATCAAACAGCATGAACTTCACATATGTGCTTAGAAACGGCACAAATATGATGTTCCAAGCATTTCATAGGTTGAGTTTTACAATTATAATACCAAATACCTTATGGATGAGACCCTACATTTTCAAAAAGTTAATGGCGAAAATACTACAATTTATATCGAAGTCCAGATTGTTGAAAGAATCCTCAACATTACTTATCAGCTTTTAAGTGGTAGATGACGTCATAGTAAATAGGATTTCGGTATAAATGAATTAATTGTAAGAATGTAGAAATTGCTGGTAAATAACTCCTATTTTCACTCGAGCTTAATTTATATATTATTGTCAAAATAATAGGAATAAGCTACAGCAATTAACTACTATGTCTGATACATCTGTGAATATCAATGAGGAATTCCAAAGAGACTTAGTGAAAATCAATTGCATTTTTAACAACATTCGTGTAATCTAATAGTAGCTACCTTCATTTATTATCATTTCTTTTTGGTTCTGAACACAAGTGAATTTAAAAACTTATTTTGTTCTCATTTCGAATGTGGTAGATTTGAACGTAACTTAATCATTGACAACTAACTATTATATAATTATGTAGTAAGAAATGTAAACTTTAGGTAAATAGTACCAGGTAGAAACATTAGGTCAACTTTGATTGCTGAAACATGTTATGTCCCCTGTATCAGCACCCACTGTAATAAGATAAACCAGTAAGCGTTGAATTAAATTCAAAGAATTTGGACAGTAAATAAATAAAAATGTGAATTAATTGATGTTATATCAACGTCATTTATTACTAAAACTTGAAAAAAAAAACGAGTAGCTACTGTAATTCCCACGATTCGAAGTAAAAACACCAAGACTAGTACGACTAAAGATTTATTGACTATAAAATACGACTATCCTAGTCAAAAATATATTTACTTATATATTGACTGTACATTCATTTTGATTATTAACTAGAGTAAAATCATCACATATATTATGAAAAATACCCGGATTTATAATAATTCACATTCTGTATGTCATTCTGATCATATTTCACATTAATTTAATACAAGAATATTGTATGTTGGATAAACATCACACTCAAATAAACTAATGTTATAACCAATAAAATATTACACTGGAAAACTAAACAAATATTAAACTGATTAATCACCATATTGAACTAAAGAAAAAAGAGTAATGTTGACCAAAACATCACCACGAGTCAAAATTTGATTTTACCTTTTTATCTCATTATATCAATCAAAACTCCGCCTGTAGCTCCTCTGGGGGTTACTGACGGTCCCAATCCCGGGTAAAGGAGGAGGGTTGGGCATGGGGTTAGCGACCCCATCCCGTAGAAAATCAACTCGCTAAAAAAACGCTAACCAGGCATAAGTAAGTAAGTAATATCAATTAAATTTTATTCTTGGGAATTTTGAGAACTTAATAACAAAATCTGTTAAAACTTTGTCAGTAGTGATTGTATACTTCAGTTGATATAATTCTAAATTAATCTTATTGACTTAGTACGATTCAAATGTTCTCTTCACACATTTCATTTGGGAATTTTTATTCATCCCTTTTGAACTAGATTTACTATATTTGATTTTTACATTAATATCGATATAATTCTTTTGAATTAGTTCCATTGCATTGATTTAACTTTAAGATTTTGTACTTATATGAATTGTAACAATATAGTTCCATGGTAATTTCAGCGATATGTTTATATTATATTGACTGATTAATTCAGTATATAATCTTTATATCTACTAATCGAATTTACACTGTCATGTTATCAATATTGGTTATGATAGAGGTTGTGTGGAGGTTTTTGAATGTAATTACGGCGAAAAACCGACCTCAGTAAATTACTGAAGACCTGAAAGAATCGTGTGGCTATTTTGTCCTAAAATGGGACTCAGCAATGTGTATCGATAACCCCACAGAGGATCTAACCCAGGACATTCAGGTCTTGTATTTATGTATTTTATTTGAACACATAAATGTTGGTACAAAGGGACACTGAATACACATGCGCAACACAAGTCACTTGATTTGTGTGTGGGCTGTGATACTGCCCTTATGTCCAAACCGAAGCAGGTGGTTTTCTTAGGGGGGTCACACTCGGAGCCTTCGACCTTAAATTCTGCCTAACAAGGCAGTGGAGCAACGTAAGGAGATGCAGTCCCATGATAACCATGGTGACCAACAATAGGTTCATATGCTATTTGTTTTCTTAGGATTCCTTAGCCAGTATGCACCATTGGTTTGGAATCAAGGTTTTCTGATTCCCATAGGTGGATCCTTCGTGTCCACCGATTCGGTTAAAGCGCTGGACATTTGCTTTTTGTCCTCTCAATTTTGTAAAGAACACCTCGATCTCAAGAAGGCAATGAGTAGGACTTCCCTGGCAATGGCTATATACGCGTGGGTATATGGGAGCATTTGGAGAAGGAGAGCTGACTCTCCAAACCCTCAGTCCTACAAGGGCATTTGGAGGCTCAGGTCTTTTAGCGATCTCTTGACGTTCAGATCCCCAAGTAGTGTATAAGACATTTATTCTCAAAAAACAATGACGGTTCGTTGAAGATTATCGGCAGTTGACTGAAGTTAGACATGTGAACCTTTAAATGTTAGCTTATTAATCTGAAGTTTAGGGCCTCAAGTCAACACCTGAAAACGTTGAGTTCATATTCTATAGTATCGTGTATGAACCATGCTAAATGTACCAAAGTTAAATGAAATAGCCATCCAGTCCTTTCTGGTTTTCAATCAGTCTTAAACTTAGATCGTTTCGTGATCGCAACGCAAATGTCAATATTTCTTTGATTAGTTATACATATATCACTGATTTGTTTTTCGTTTCTCGTAAGAACTGTCAACAATTGTGTATAAATATAACTTTATTTTGACAAGTACAATTATATCTGATTATCATCATCATCATCATCATCATTATCGATTGTTTATATCCATTCTTTTCATACAATTTGCACAATTAACATACTTTTTTCAATATTTAACAAATGGATAATTTGAAAATAGATTAATAAAAGTACTTTTATGTTAAATATATTAAGAAATATATTTGTACTTGAATGTTATCCAGGCCTATATGTTATCAAAGGAAACTGACTCTGTTTTGTGCATTTTAAAGTACATTCGTAAAATAATGATAGAAATTAATAATTCAGCCGGTAATCGGATAGAGGAATGACATTCTTGTATTATTTGGTTCCCAGATTAAAGTCTAAGTTTTTTTATAGTAATATTAATAATGTTTAATTAATTAAGTCTATTTCATGTTTCAATAAGGTTTCCTCCTATAAATGTCCTACATATTTGATCACAGTAAGAAAGAAGAAAGGTTTTTTTCCCAGGTATACTGTTTACACAAAGTATTTATCATGTTTCTAGAGTTGTTATTGTAAAGATTAATGGGAAAAACATTTTACAATTTTCCTGTTTTTCCCATTAGTGTACTTCATACCCTTTTTTGTTTACTGGTTCGATTTCTAAAGTTACTATTTCATACTGATACTATTCGATCATTGTTAACTGATTTTCATTGAAGGATTGTTACGGCATTGTATCTTTTGATTTATTTGTGAATAATTAAACCCATTTCATAGTTGGTTTGCTTTATCGCTTGTATACAGTAAGAATGTAATTTATTAAGATAACTTTGATCAAATGATTGAATTGCATTGTAAATATGATGTTACTGGATACATTAGTTTTATTGAAATAATAAACATTTTTTAATTTTTATTTAAACACATAAATATTGGTACAAGGAAGCACCAGATATATATGCGTCGCACAAATCTCATTTGATTTATGTGAGGGCTGTGATACTGCCCAGGTGCCCAAAATGAAGCAGGTGGTTTTCTCAAGGGGGCACACAGAGAGCCTTTGACTTAATGGTCTGATCCACAGGTCAGTGGAGCATCGTGAGGAGATGCAGTTCCATGGTAGCCGGTGACCAACGATTGATTCATACGCCATTTGTTCCTTCAGGATACTGGAGCCCATGTGCACCATTGGTTTGCAATCAGGGTTTTCCAACTCCTCTAGGTGGATCCTCCGTGTCTACCAACCCGGTTAAAGCGACGGACATTTGCTTTTCGTCCTCTCCCTTTCGTGAACAAAAACCCCTCAACGAGAAGGCAGTGAATAGGACTTCCCTGGCAGTGGCTATATACGCGTGGCCATGTGAGAGCATTTACAGAGGGAGAGCGAACTCTTTTGAGTAGTTAAAGAAATGTAATATAATTTATATAACTCATGTTTGACATTCATTTACATTTATGCAGTTGAAATACATCCACAAATATTTTAAACTAATGACTACGTAAAGTAATGAACACCAAAAATTAAATTGTATTATTGAATTTCGTTAGTTCGATAATGTAATATTTGTAGTGAGCCTGATAACTTTCATTTACTTTCGTTATCTAATATCAGTAAGTGAAATCTAAGAAAAAAACGTTCTGGTATTTCATCATCATACAAAAGTTTTATAGTCTACTGAAAGAAATACAAATTAGATTCATCCATTTCATCATGGATGTTTTACCGACAGCTGTGAAATTTCTATGTGAAAACTTCATTTGAATAATTTCAAAGAGCTTTCTTTAAACACGCTTCGATCAGTTAGGCAGGTGCTACGTTAGAATTATTAAAATTGCAATCGCTGAGATTATTTAAACATAATTTTACATATAATGTCTTTTTTATATTTGGAACTAGATTTCTGTTAATCTGTTAATTCGAAATGTGACAAACGTTCACAATATCATGATATTTCCCTTGATAAGTTAGTTGTTAACGAAACACTAATAACTAAGACATTCGAACCATACAATAAGTAGGTCACAAAGGAGTAACTATTTTAAAGTTTAACACTCCTTACTCTTTACTTATAATAAACCTACAACGCTCAAGTCTTCACAGACTATAAAAGATAAATTATTGCAGGTTAGCGATTTATTTTTAATACGATAACTAGAGACTTTATTAAGGATCTATAGCGTTTAAAATCGTTCACAGCATGAATGATGATTTACAGACACCAGTAAAGTTACCCATAATTTACTTAAATTCAAAGTTTTAACCTGAACTCATTCAGGTGAAATATAAGGAAAAATGAAATTCTATACCTAGTTTCTGGTAATTTTTCAGCTAATGTCAGTCTGTCAAGAAAATTATTTTGACATTTTATAGAGTAAGTGCTCACTAAATAGTTTTCATTTTTTTAGTCATTTCTTTAGGAACTTTAATTTTGATCCCAATAAAAATTACTACTACTGTGGAAACATATTTTCAAGTTTTGTATAAGCAAGGTTGGAAACCAAAAGGTTCTGTAAATTTTTAATTTGATTCTTAACATAATGTCCATTTTCCTCAAAAATAAATACTGGAATGTACAGAAAACCGGAAAACCTCTCTACTCAATCCAAGTTATTGATTAACAGAATGGCCATGCTCACAAAACTATTTATGATGGACAAAGCTGTAGAAATTATACTCGACATGCACTATCCCACTTTTCACATGGTTTAACTCCACCGGTTGAGGCTTCACACTAGAATTTAATGAAATTTTCTCGGAGTTATTGGCTGGTAAAAACTTCACCAGTAAAGTACAATCATGTCGATAATATGACATGTATCTCACGCTTATTTATTTGTACACACTAAATATATTTCTATTCTGTTTCTTACATACTGTACCTTAGATATTGATGAATGTTCAATATTTACACCAGCGGAATCTTGTCCTGATTCAAGGGCTCGGTGTGTGAATACACAAGGAAGTTACGTTTGTGTCTGCCCTGAAGGCTTTATTTGGTTAGGTTATCCAGACCTAAAATGCAAAGGTTAGTTGTAATTACTTTTTTTTTGAAGAAAAATTCTATGAAAAATAAACCTGAACAGCATTGATTATCTTACAAATGCCCAGATGCAAAACACAGTAGTTAGTATAATCTATTTATAAGTATTAAAAGCTTTAGGCTGTGATGAAAGAGATTTTAAGATAGAAACTAACATAAAGACTTACGTATTTGGCTTAGTGTTTCAACACATTCCGAATCTAATCACAATTGATTGATCACTGGGTGGTGATCAATCTCATGCGTGTCAGGTCCTTAGTGCTGATCGAATGCTATCGATCAAGTTGCAATGTGGCGAAGGGTACTAGGTTTGAGCTCCGTCTTGAACACTAACTCAGAGATGCAGGTACATCCAGATGACGAGTCCCAAATAGGATGAAACGTGCGCCTTGGATTCCACTACTAACCACCATTATATACACTTTTAGTCGAGAATAACCAAATAATTACAATGAAGCAAGATTATTTCAAAATTGAATAGTGTTGTTCACATTTTCATTTATTTGCTGTAATAGTCTGATTTTGATGTGTTAAACATTCAAAGATTGATCTTGATTTTCAGATAACAAACGTAAACATATTTTAAACATATGCATGTGCACTCAGGCTCAGTACTGTTCAGTTATTACCATGACAAAATATATGGAAGGACGGCAACAATCAATAGTAGCTTTTGTTTATCTTGTTCACTGTATAACAGTAGTATCGTGATAAATAAATAATATATTTGTAATATCCCAATGAGTAGAAAAATTAGATTTTCTGACGTTTCGTGACTCAGTGTAAGCCACTTCTTCAGAGAATAAATAACCGAATTAACATTAATCTAAGTTTAAACTTAGATTAATGTTTTGAATTTCATTCAAAACATACATGAATATGAGATTCAGATACCATAAGTTATTCACCAAGCTATGAAATTAACGGGGTCATGATCAGGTTTAATTTTCAGCTGCCGTGTTATTTCACTTTTGACATCCATACGTTACAGTCACATGGAAATATGACACACATTACCCACTTCATTATTAACTACATGGAAATCAATTATGTCTATACTTACTGGAACTGTTCCGAGAACTTCTAATATGAAACAAATAACCACAATATAAATACACATAACCGTGTAAATCATTTAAAGTAATACTGCTGGAGTTCAAAGTCTAATGAGACTAGCAATCTATGGTATTCTGCTACAAAAAATGACAATTCTTCCATGCCTAAACAGATACAAACAAAGCACGACGGAAAAACAGTATTTGATAATTATTAAAGCATCACATAACTTGCTTCGAAAAATCTTACATATTACAACCCATAATCTTATTCACTTTTACTCATAACACTGTAAGATCTACTAGTTGTTATCTATTATGTGTTAAACCAAAGTTAGTTTTTTCATTTTTCCCTTGAATTAAATTTTATCAGAACCAATTTAATCAAGTAATAATAATAATAATAATAATAATAATTAATGGCTTTATTCAATATTATAATCTGGTACAATATAGAATTCTCAGCACGAGTTATTTCAACAAGTTTTTTTACCAAAAAAAAAACAAAAAACAAAAAAAAACCAGTAGCTACTGCGCCACCACAGGTCTTTTTATTGTTTGATCGATCCTGACGATAGATATTAAGATCACGTAATGATACTAGGCAATCATCCTGTAAGTCAGTCAACCAAGATTCTTGAATTGTGATGACACCACAATTACGATACATGTTTTGACTTAGCAGAAATTGGAGATAGTCCACCTTGTTAATTAGAGATCGACAGTTAGAGTTAAGCAGCTCGGGATACATAAAACTTACGATTTCGAGATATCTAGATCATTAAAATGTCAATGTTCACAGGTATAGGTCTAAATTCAATTCTTTGTACCTTCTAAACGAAACAAAGGAAGATATTCACTTTTCTCATATTAACACTATTACTCATGGTTTTTTCACCACATTATTAAAACATTCGATTATATAGTTACTTTCTACTACTTCTGCATTGCTTTGGTTTTCACAGACGTTAATGAATGCACTGAAAAGCCAGATATTTGTGGGAACGAACACCAGTGCGTAAATATGATTGGCAGTTATCGATGCCAGTGTGCTCCTGGATATAAAAATGGAGAAAATGAAAAATCGTGTGTTGGTCAGTTAATTACAATTTTAAAAACCTTAGTTTTACGAGCATTATTTTCAGTACCTTAATTAAGCTACTGTTATTGTTATGAGTAATATAACAACAAAATGTAAAAAATCCTGTCAGAAATAAACTAAGTTAAATAGCTAGCTATATTACTGTGGAGAACAAAACACCAGGTTAGTTACATTGTATTTTTCAAAAAAGGCACTCAACGACTAATTTTGCCGTTATTTTGCTTCTGGAAAATGTTAAAAGGATTTAGGCTCGACTGGTGATCATCGTGAACTCCGCCTGTAGCTCCTCTGGGGGTTACTGCCGGTCCCTAGCCCGGGTAAAGGAGGAGGATTGGGCATGGAGTTGGCGACCCCATCTAGTAGAAAATCAACTCGCTAAAAAACGCTAACCAGAAAAAATCATTCAAACCATTCAAACCCTGCCCTGGGAGTAGAAGGAATAATTATGACGTCTCATGATGAAAGCTGAGTTCCTTCGGAAGTCATGAGGCCGATGCACCTTCTTACAACCAGAGCAACACTCTTTATAGGTACATGGAATGTCCGAACAATGTGGGGGACCGGCAGAGTCTTCCAAATTTCTGCAGAAATGAGAAAATACAACCTGGAGGCTCTTGGAATCAGTGAAACACATTGGACGCAGGTTGGACAACAACGACTGTCTTCAGGAGAACTTCTGTTATACTCCGGTCATGAAGAAGAAAATGCCCCACATACACAAGGAGTTGCATTGATGCCGTCCAAACAAGCACAATTGCACTTATAGGATGGGAATCTCATGGACCGAGGATCATCAAAGCCTCCTTCAGAACAAAGAGAGAGGGCATTACAATGAATGTTATCCAATGCTATGCGCCTACCAACGACTACGATGGAGACGCTAAAGAGAAATTCTACGATAGGCTGCAGTCGATCTTCGAGAAGTGTCCAACAAAGGACCCGATCATTCTGATGGGAGATCTCAATGCCAAGGTTGGAAAGGACAACACTAGATACGAAGACGTCATGGGACGACATGGACTGGGAGAAAGGAACGAAAATGGTGAGAGATTTTTGAACCTATGTGCCTTCAATAAACTGGTCATAGGTGGCACCATATTCTCACACAAAAACATACACAAAGCCACTTGGATTTCACCGGATCACACTACACAGAATCAAATCGACCATATCTGCATCAACAAAACGTTCAGGAGGACGATGGCGGATGTGAGAACCAGAAGAGGAGCTGATATAGCATCCGATCATCATTTGCTGGTTGCCAAGATAAAACTAAAACTCAAGAAGCACTGGACAACGGCGTGGACAACATCACGAAAGTTTAACACGGCCTTTCTTCGAGATACTGACAAACTCAACAAATTCAACATAGCCCTCAGCAACAGGTTCGAGGCCTTTCATGATCTACTCAATGGAGAGGGAACTACCATGGAGAGCAACTGGAAAGGTATCAAGGAGGCAATCGTTTCAACGTGTCAAGACGTTCTGGGCCAAAAGAAGCACCATCACAAGGAATGGATCACTGTTGGTACACTGGATAAAATTGAAGCAAGGAGGAACAAGAAGGCAGCAATCAATATCAGCCGAACAAGAGCGGAAAAAGCCAAGGCACAAGCCGAATACACAGAGGCAAACAGGTAAGTGAAGCACAAGTAAGTGAGGAGCATCAGAACCGACAAACGTAAACATGTGGAAGATTTAGCGATGACAGCGGAAAAGGCTGCAAGAGAGGGAAACATGAGACAACTGTATGATAGAACAAAGAAACTTGCTGGAAATTACCGTAATCCAGAAAGACCAGTGAAAAGCAAGTAAGGCAAAGTAATCACCGGCATTGACGAACAACGGAACGGGTGAGTAGAACACTTCAAAGAACTCTTGAATCGACCAGCTCCACTGAACCCACCCAACATCGAAGCAGCACCCACGGACCTCCCAATCGATGTTGGCCCACCAACAATTGAAGAGATCAGCATGGCCATTAGACAAATCAAGAGCGGCAAAGCAGCGGGACCAGACAACATCCCGGCGGAGGCACTGAAAGCAAATGTAGCAGCAACTGGAAAGATATTCCACATCCTCTTCAGTAAGATTTGGGACGAAGACCAAGTACCAATAGACTAGAAAAAAGGACTTCTGATCAAAATACCAAAGAAAGGCGATCTCAGTAAGTGCGATGATTACAGGGGCATCACTCTGCTTTCAATACCAGGAAAAGTCTTTAACAGAGTATTGTTAAACAGGGTGAAGGATTCCGTGGACGCCCAACTTCGAGATCAACAAGCTGGATTTCGTAAGGATAGATCGTGCACAGATCAAATCGCAACTCTACGTATCATTGTGAAACAATCAATCGAATGGAACTCATCACTCTACATCAACTTCATCGACTACGAGAAGGCATTTGATAGCGTGAACAGGACAACATTATGGAGGCTTCTTCGACACTACGGCGTGCCTGAGAATATAGTCAATATCATACGGAACTCCTATGATAGACTAAACTGCCAAATCGTCCACGGAGGACAACTCACCGACTCGTTTGAAGTAAAGACCGGTTGTTAGGCAAGGTTACTTACTCTCACCCTTACTGTTTCTCCTGGTGATCGACTGGATCATGAAGATGTCAACGACTGGAGGAAATCACGGGATACAGTGGACAGTAGCTTGACGATATAGACTTCGCAGATGATCTGGCTCTTCTATCACAAACGCAACAACAAATGCGGGAGAAAACGACCAGTGTAGCAGCAGCCTCAGCTACAGTAGGTCTCAATATAAACAAAGGGAAGAGCAAGACTCTCCGATACAATACAACATGCAGGAATCAAATTACACTTGACGGAGAAGCTTTGGAAGATGTGGAAACCTTTACATATCTGGGCAGCATCATTGATGAACACGGTGGATCAGATGCAGATGTGAGGGCGCGGATCGGCAAAGCAAGAGCAGCATACTTACAGCTGAAAAACATCTGGAGCTCAAAACAATTGTCAACCAACACCAAGGTTAGAATTTTCAATACAAATGTGAAGACAGTTCTAATGTATGGGGCGGAGACGTGGAGAACTACGAAAGCTATTATCCAGAAGATACAAGTGTTTATTAACAGCTGTCTACGCAAGATACTTCGGATCCGATGGCCAGACACTATCAGCAACAAGTTACTGTGGGAGACAACAAACCAGATTCCAGTGGAGAAAGAAATCAGGAAGAAGCGCTGGAGTTGGTTTGGGCACACTTTGAGCAAATCACCCAATTGTGTCACAAGACAAGCCCTCACATGGAATCCTGAAGGTCGAAGGAGAAGAGGAAGACCAAAGAACACATTACGCCGAGAAATAGAGACAGACATGAGAAGAATGAACAAGAACTGGATAAAATTAGAAAAGAAGGCCCAGGACAGAGTGGGTTGGAGAAAGCTGGTCGGCGGCCTATGCTCCATTGGGAGTAACGGGCGAAATTAAGTAAGTAAGTGAGCTGATCATCGTGAATTGCAAAGAGGGAATTCATATTTTTTTTCTGAAAAGTGGTAATTGAATTGGCAGATCAGTCAAATGCGAGAGCAGCAAAATCTAGAAAAAACAGTATTTCTTGTTAATCATATTCAAGCGTTAAAGTAAAATCAACAATATGATGCAGTTATACTCGGCTGAGATGCTCCAAACAAAATCAAAAGAGCGGCCTTGATAACGAAAATATACACAGTCCAAATAAAAGTAGAGTAACACCACTTAGCGCCTAAGACCACTGAACCGGTATCCAGTGATGTTAGTGTCTGACTTCGGTTGACCCATGATCTTGCGCAACCCTTCATTTATTGTCTGAGGTGAATAACTCTCTAACACCCTACACAGATTAGACTCCACTGGTTGAGCAAGATAATGGGTCGATTGAAGTTAGATATTAACTTTGTTGGATGCGGGATAAAAGGTCTGGGGTTTAGACTTTCGCGAGCAAGACCAAAGATCTTGAGTTCGACTATCGAATGCGGGATCGTGGACACGCATGTCAGAGAGGTCCCATACTAAGATGAAAGGGTCTTCCAGTGGTTCTAGCTTTTCAATGGTAGTTTAGCTTCAGTGGACTCGAGAATTTATTTTATTCAGTGTTATTTTTACTATATAAATTTATTGAATTTGAGGCTTTTAAAAAAGAGTTGATGGATACTACAAAACGAATCTTTGCTTTCATCGTTATCTGTATTAAAGAAAGTAATTTAAGCCTGTCGAATGCACCTAATTAAACAATGCTACCAACATTGTGTACGATACATTTCCTGTTATTAATATTTAACGTAATTTGTGCGTGTAAATGTCTTGTTCATCAAATCTAATATATATCTAAAATATCTAAGTAATTAAGAAAAATATTCTGGTAAATATTTCATTAAGTTCAATGTTGAATAATATAATCATATCAGTAATTTGTTAAAATCCATGCTACTTATAATTCATTTTTATGTTTTCAAAAATAATGCAAAACAATTAATTATAAAAAAACACTAAATAAATCAGATATCGACGAATGCAATGTGAAACCGTACAACAATGATATTAATTATATGTCACCATGTCCATATTCATTATGTATTAATCAACCTGGGAGTTATCAATGTCAATGTCCTGATGGATTTCGACTAGGGAGAGGAAATCGATGTTATGGTAAGATTTGGTAGTTATTGTTATGACCATTATCATCAATGCTAAGTATGTACTGTATTCGTTTATTATTTTTTAGTAAACATATGAACTTTTATATTGAATATGAACTAATCAACGTAAATCACAGTTTTAATCCAACGAACATAACTGATTGGTATAACCTCCGACTGCATATAAATGCACTCCATGTGTAATAAATAATTTCAAGTATCTTATGTCATGTTTTATTTAACTATCTACCGGTTCTTGCCTTAAACAGCTTCTATAAATTCTGGAGGTACTAGCTCCAGGCGTTCTTATATTCGTAAGATAATCAATTATTTACTCACCGAAAAATTCGTTTACTATTTAATTATATTTTACGAACAGCTGTTTTCCGTTTCATTTAAATCCTCTGAAACATTGGTACTTTAAGTTATTATTCTTATTATTGCTTCACACTACTATTTTCACTAAGTCATCTAAACTACCCATTCTTAAATTCACTTAGTATTGTCTGCTTCAACCTTCTCATTGATGTTTAGGACTGAAACTAGTAACGTAATTAGAGACTGACCAGTTGCAGTCCTAACACATCGATGGGAAGATTCAAACAAACTATACCAAGTGAATTTAAACTTCACCCCATCGCACAAGCAAATGGCTATCAGGACTCAGTGGCTGAGTGAATAACGTAGTGGCGTTTGAAGCGAAAGGTACTGGGTTCGAGTCCCAGGGTGAACATCAACTCTGAGATGCAGATATGTTCGGCTGACAAGTCCCAAATAGGACGAAACGCGCGTCCTGGATTCCACTGCTAGCCACTATCCATCTTTGTTTACCCATTCTTAAGTCCGAAAATTTTAGAAAAGCTAGTTTTTAAAATGATAGAAAAGATTTGTTACTCAGATGAGTGTTTTTGGTAATCCTGAGTTCTCTGAATCACTTAACCTGGAAGATTCCTGTATCATTTTGGATAACGTCATCAGTGCCTACTTCAAATATAAATGACCACACTGATAACTTCACAATTACCGACTTCGCACAAATTATGACCTTGTTTCTGATTGACACACTAACTTAGTACGTTTTATTGTCTTCATGTATCAGTGTGATCCCATTGAGTGTTTTATTTATTTGGCCTCTAACCATGTGACTAATTGACCTTTTTAACATGGGTTGAGACTTATCAGTATGTGGATGTCGAGATTTGTTGAATTTCATTGAAACCACGATATGATTTTAGTTAGGCAATTATATACAATATGGAAGCACTTGACAGCCGTTCCGTTCCAGTATGGTACTCCTCATCAGTGCACATTCCCGACTTCGCAACCAAGAATCAAACGCGTGATAATCGGTCTCACGTAAACACTTAACATCTATACAACTAAGCCTGGAACTAGTGGTATACAAGTTCAACTTCAATCACTTCACGATGTTGTGCAGTCATCTTCCATTGTTTCCTGTGGGTACCTCCTTCACATCCGACACGGTTTAACGCTACTAATCACGGCTTCACACTATAACCCCTAAAGTTTTCCCTCAAAGCTAGTCGCGCAATATCATGAGCCAATTGAAATACAGTGCTTTCATGTCTTTACATGGTTGTCTGACCTAACTCATTTCACGGTTTCAGTGGAAAAGACAGGCAGCTTGGATCTTTATCGACGGATCGGTTGATTCTTGATTGATCCCAGTTTCATACTTCTAAAATTTTTCTGACATTCTTGGAATTACCTCGGCTGGGAATATCGGTACTTTTGCGTTCAATTATTTTGTCCATAGTCTTCTACGTTCAATGATCTAAAAATGGTACATCATTGCCTTCTCACTGCTCGTTGATATTCCTGCATAGTTGTGTGAATGAAGCATCAGCTTTATTCAGAATAATGTATTTTATGAGTAATCCAACTTACTTAACAGTTAGTGTTGAATTTGTTTTGTTTCTCTTTTGCATCTCTGAGCCTACATGAAATGTAATAAAGTGATTGTAATAGCTTGTGAGTAACAATGATTATGAAAGACCTTGAAATCTTTCACATTGCTCACAATACATTACTTATTGATAAATTGGTTGGATCGTTTATCTATAATGAGATATTATCAAAAATTCTGTCCGTGATTATCGTAAAAAATGGAATATTAAATATTAACTGTGGACATTCTGTTCGTTAAGTACGACACATATAAGGGAAGAGCAGTAAATATTAATAAATATATCTTGCATAGTTTCATTGTGAAAAACTGATACTGAAACTACAACTAAGTTTCAATAGTATTTGTGGTTAAACATTAGGTAAAACGTATGCTGAGAGGTCGGTAGAGAGTGTTGAATTTTTGCATAGACTGGATCATATACTGTAATGTAGCTAGACAATCAGGGAACACCGAATAGATTTTTTTATCAGTTCTCATCGATGATAAAACGATGGACTGAAGGAATGATTATTTAGTCCTCACAGCAGGTCGGTTATCTTTAGGTCATTAAACCTGTACTCCAGTCCATTCATTTTTACATGTAAGCCATTCATCTATAAATTAACGTGTGATCTAACACAAACGAGGATCGGGTATGTCAAACATTTGAGTTTTAGGAATTATTCATCAACACAATTCAAACAATTCTTTATCTTTTGTAAATATATGAAACTAAAGTCCATTAGAGCAGATCTTCTCTTTGTTTACCACATATGTTGTGTTTTGCGGTGAAGCATTCTCATTAAAGTTAAATGTAAAACGTGTATGCCAATCATATTGGAAATTAGCATAATTGAGTTTTTTTTAATTTACTAAATTGTTGTTCAATATTTTCATCACAACTTTTTTCAAAAGGTGATAAACATCAACAATTTCTTGAATAACAAATCTAGAAAGTGAATATCGTAATAATAATTTTTGTAGTTAATACAATCAATATCAATGTTTCATTTACATCATGGGATAGATTGGGAGATATAAACAACAATTCAGATGGATATATAAAGAGAGATAATAGAAATACACATATTGGTTTAAATAAGTAGCATTTAACGTAGTATATATTCCCTTCAAATCACGTGTTCATATTATTCTGTATTACTGAAATAAATATGGAAAATTATTGTAGTAATCAAATAAGCCCATCCTACAAAGTATACTTCATAAATTGCATCTCTTTAACTGAAATTATTGTACTTTTGATTTATTGGTAAGCTTGTGAAGTGTGAGATTGAAAATTTTAATTTAATTATCTAACTCACTTTAATATATAATCTCACAGTGTCTGGTTAGAGGAACCAAAACAAGGTTATATAAAAACTAAATGGATAGATTTATATGGTTTAAAAAGGATCTTGTTTGTCGTCCGTAATTGTATATGATCTAAATAGCATCAATTCGATTGATACTTTTATGTTGAAATAATAATTCTGTTAATTATTGATCATTTTCACGTCTGTTTCATAAGTTTAGTATATCGGTGATGAATTGTTATCTTTAAACTCCTGACCTAATAAGGTCCAAACCAAAGTATTTACTTAAGGCCAATTAAACTAATTAAAATTCATAACAGATCAGTGAAGCGTTTTGCACCACAGAATTTATTTCATGAGTTGTTAGATGTTTGTAGCTTGAGATAAGTAAGTTGGAGGTGTTATGGACTTTGAGCAGGACGTTTCGGTTGTGAAGCTTTTACTGTTCTTCTGAGCATCATCATCATTTACTTTAAAAGCAACTGCGTCTCGAAGTACGTACTGATGATGTTGTTTAAAATAACTATGAAAGCTATACAAGTAAAACATCTAACTCAGAGATCAAAACATTTCCAGAATTCAGTCAAGCGACAAGTAGTAGGTTTTTAACTTGCAAATATACTACCGTAAGACAAATATAAATTAAAAATAGTAAGGTTAACTATACCCGATGTTTATTTTTAATATCGGCACTCTGTGCTTTCTCTTTATTGAAATTTCAAACTGACGTAATTAATAACAAAAACAATACCGGTTGAGAAAGTTCATATTTATAATAATACAGTAGCCTTATCGAAGGAACTCTTACTGGGTTCGAACAATGGAACACAGGCACAGATAGCCGATGAGCAATAAATAAAATAAGCTATAAATTTTGTAATTCATTGTTATCCTCTTTTTAAGAAAATATACTCCTATCACTAGTTTACGATAATGAGAACAATTATGTAAAAATAAATGAAGGAATGTAGAAAGATATGTAGATTTGCTTATTTTTAAAAAACGTCGAAGGGGAAATGCATGACAGAAGTGCCTTTTACTTTTTATTACTCTACCACTTTCATTTCTCCTGCCTTTTTGGTTGTTAGATAACAGAGTTTATCAAACATATTTCCATTAGTTATGAAACCCTGGGGATTATAAAACTAGTGGGGCAATAACACCTCTGAATATTTACTTGATTGGATTGCACCTAGTGTTTCGGATAACTTTTAACGATTAGTATTGCTCGTTTTTCAACTCCATTAATTTGTTTCTCTTGTAAAACGTTCTAATTCATGATTTTAAAAATTCTACTGACTATAAAAAATATCAGTTTATGATTATCTAACCACTAATCATTGAGCGAATTGACATGATATGAAACTAATTAGTTTTTATTGTGCACGTACGTTATTAATTACGGATACTAGCCCCCACTAAATTATCATGGTAGCAAATTGATTACTAATATGGAAATTGTATGTGAAAAAACATGCTGAGGAGTCCCATAATAGGACGAAACGGCCGTCCAGTGCTTCCAGGTCTTCCATGTTAGTCTAGTTTCAATTGACTCATGATTTCGACTATGAAAATACTAAATTCTCTACAAAACCCCTTCTGATCTATTTGTTATAAATCTCATTTACTTACCTTTTCATTGATTGAAATCATTATTCTACTTGAGAAAAATTAACGTGTTGTTATTCATAGTTTATCCAAGGTGAAGAAAAAATTACCTTAATTCATTCATCTTTTTAAACTTTAAAAACAAATTCAGTTTAATAAGGGTAAATAATTTAAAAAATATACTCCCTAAGAATGAATAATAAAACTTCTGAGTAAATTTCCCATACCAATGTTAAGGTCATAGTTTGTTTTTCCAATTAAGTGAACAAATTAAAATACTTGGAATTTAATAAACTATTGAATCTTAGTTATTATCCTGTTTACTTATAAAATGATTTTGTTTACCATTCATTTTGTCATTAACCTACATAGAGTATACATAATTTATAAACATAAACGTTGTTTGACTTCTGTTCAAATCAATAAGTCGACAAATGCGTACTGTAGTGAACAGAACACAACTGGGGACAATCGAATGTATTTAAGCAAAGATTACAGACTATCTCAGTAAATTCTGATAACCAAACAATGAACAGTCAATTTGCAAATTAACAACCAATTGTTACAATCTTCACTGTTTCTTCTCATATTCTATTGCTCATGCATTTTCCAAACGATTGCGCTTCATTTCAGTTCTTTACTGATCGGTCTTCTGCCAAAATACATTCTATGTCTGACCCACACCATATACTACTTATATGGATATAAGTAGACCACACCACAGTACAAGTTTCAATAAGAAAATTATATCAGAAGGGGTTTTTGTGGATATGATAGTTTTTTAATATCTGAGATCATGAGTCCATCGAAGCTAGAATACCATGGAAAACCTGGAAGCACTGGACGGCATTTACCCCTATTGTGTGACTCGTCAGCAGTACGCATCCACGATCCCACCTCGCGAGATTCGAACCCAGGACCTATCAGTTTTGTGCGCGAGCGCTTAATCTCTAGACCACTGAGCCGGCATTTGATGGTGTTAATGTCTAACCTGAACTATTAAAATTAGTATAATATTCACAAAACCCTTCTGATATTAATCAATATATGCTCACTAGTGACTGACTTCAAGAGGTATTTCGTGGAGTTCTGGTGAGAAGCAGTGATCAGTGGAATCCAACTCAGTTTATTGTGAGATAGTAACTCACTGAAGACAACGGTGGATGTGTCGTTCAATTTCGTGGATTGGTTGAAGTTAGACATTAACATCGTTGAATGCCGGCTCAATGGTTCAGAGTTTAAGCGCTTACACGCGAGACTGGTAGGTCCTGAGTTCAAATCTCTCGAAGCAGGGATCGTGGATGCACACTGCTGAGTAGTCCCACAATAGAACGAAACCGCCATCTAGTGCTTTCAGGTTTTCCATGGTTGTCTAGTTTCAATTGACCAATGATCTCAACTAGTGAACAAAATTGTAGTTAGACTTTAGTGAAAACATTTATTCTATGACCCACTTTCTATTGATTCACTTAATATTTTAACACAAGAAATAAAATAATGAAACCCACAGTTTTAATTGATCATTTTATTCATTGTCATTAATACTTATTAACATTTGTACATCTACTAATTAATTCAATTGATATTGAACATTTTTATTCAATTTTTTACGTGGAAGAATATCAAAAAACATTAAAAAATCATAAAAACTGAAAAAATCCTAGTCTAGAATAAAATAATTGATTATTCTTATTTGGTAACAAATGTTATTCAGTTTATACCATTTTGAAATGAAAAATATTTTCAAATTATATGATTTTATATATAGATGAAATCATGAGTCAGTTGAATCTGGACCACCATGGAAAACTTGGAAGAACTGGACGGCCGTTTTGTCTTATTGTGGGACTTCTCAGCAGTGCGCATTCACGATCCCACTTCGCGAGATGAGAACCCAGGACTAACCGGTCTTGCGCGCGAGCACCTAACCGATAGACCACTGAGCCGGGATCCAATGGTGTTAATGTCTGACTTCAACCAATCCACAAAGTTGAGCAACTGCGCACTGCTGAGGAGTCCCACAATCGGACGAAATGGACGTTCAGTGCTTCCAGGTTTCCATGGTTGTCTAGCTTCAATTGACTTATGATTTCAACTATATATAAAAAAATACTAAAAATCTTCACAAACAACCCACATATATTATTTTACGCAATTTTTTTCATATTTTTAAAATCTGGTCTAATGTAATGATTTTCGAAATAAACTAGAAGAAAAATTCAATCATATATCATGAACATTTGTGTGACACGAATACAATATTCAATGTTTTTAATATTAGCTAGCCTATGTACTTCAGAGAAAAAATAGGTTGATTGTAATTAATCAACAATAGACGTGGAAATAAGCACATATTACTCTTAAAACTGATACTTTATACTTGGGACAATCGAATGTATTCAAATACAAAATTACAGAACCATATAGTAAATATTTCATTTACAAAATATCAATCAATCATCTCAAACTTCATTGTTCCTTTGTTTCCACAGTAATCATTCTCTGTTTTGGTTCTTTTTTCTTCGATCTTCTTAACCTTCTGCTGTCAGGCATTTCACTTCTGATTGATGATATATGCTACTTATATCTTTCAACATCAGTAGCACACACCACACCTACCTATTTTAATCTTCTAAGCTATCATATTTATTTATGAGGGTTATAAAAATAAAATTAACCTACTCCTGTCAATTACTTTAATTACTCTTCAAAGATGTATACGTATATAATAGTTTGTCTTAAATTCGTTTAGGAAGCTGATTTTTGAGTACAATTACTTGTCATTCAAGGAATTTAGTTGCATGTTTTAGAGACGAATTAACGACTTCCTATGGCAAAAAAATACTTCAACTTAAGTTGTATCAGAAGTTAACTAAATCGAAAGTAACAAAATCTTTAATAATTACTCTATTGTGTTTGCTAAAGAGATTCTTTGAAACGTACAATAGACGTATTCTGGTACTACCAGCCATTTCATTACTCACATTCGTTATTCACATAAACTGATCCTATTATAGGATATAGTTTATATTAAAAGGCCCTTAATTAGTTATATCAGCAGGTTGTCTGCATTACTAGTCGGTACAGAAGTTATGATTACTTTAGAAGTTAACATCATGAAAGACAAAAGTAATATCTAAGATTGCTAATTGTTCATGATACAGTAATGCAATCTATTCAGGAAATCTGGCGTATAATGTAACGACTTACACATGATATTGTTGAAAGATATTGATATAAAACACATGCAGTATTTTACAAATTTATCATTCGCTTAGCGTAAATGATTACGCTTAATTACTTTTAAGGCTGGGTGCATTGATCCATAAATTCATCAATCTTTATCTCAATCAATCGTCATTGAATATCTCTGGCAGACATATTCTTATCTATATTATTGATGTTCATCTCATGATAGTATATTGAAACATCTTTAATTAAATCTTACTGAAACGTAGACAGACCAATTTCTCCTAATATCTAAAATGAAGTAACTCTTGCAAGAAATGATAATACTTTTAATTTCCATTATTGATGTTTAAATAACAGAAGTCATCGGGTACACAAATTATGTTTTTCTGACAGGTTATCTGAATTCTTTTCCAAAATAAATCTTTAATATATGATATCAAAAGAAACCAAGAGAATTCCCATCAATAGTTTTCATCACTAGTACAGTTGAACTTGTTTAAATAACGAACTGAGAATAATATGAAAGCCTCCAGTCCGTTTCTACAGGATGTTTACTAAACATCTTCAATTTCGTGATCTACTAACTTGAAAATTTGTTTACTTATTACTGATAAGTGACCTTTAAATATGACTGATTACTTCATGATGGTAATTAAATATTTATCGTCACGAGAAACAGTTCCTGATATCAGTGTTTGCTAACAACACTTCTAGTAGTTTAAAATGCTATTACTTTGAAATACATCATAGATATTTTAAATTATGTGCGAATATTTATGTAGCAATTTACAAATTGTTGGATTGATCCTGAAAATTTCTCGCAGTAGATATGACAAGCTCACGAAACATTAAAAAGCATTTTATCCAATCAGCGTTTGACTAGAAGTTTTGCTAGAAACATCGCGAAAATGAAAAATCACATGTAGAGTTTCTGATTGGCTGAAAACTACACTGCTACTATGTTTAGTAGCATTCCAGAATTTTCAGAAAAACCCAAGGACTTCTAAAATACTTAAAAACCCTATATTTTCTGTACCTAAATGAACCTTTGGAGTAAAGTGCTTACCGCACATTTTGCTCCTTTTCTCTTGTGTTCAAGTCGCTGTGTAAATTTAGCTTGGTTATTACGAGACTAGCTTAGGATCTGAATATAGCTTTCAATTAGCAAGACTTATCACAAATACCCGAAATAAATAGCTTTGAACGTCTTTGACAAGTTGATCTCAAAAGTTTTACTGAACACAACACTAACTGATGGTTTTCAGTCAGGCATCCGCATCAGATCTTATTTCAATACGCTATACAGTCCACTTCCAAAGATAACTAATCAGCTTAGTTATGGTGTATATTACAATACTTCAACCATTTACTCGACTATAGTTTACTATGCCACCATCCTCGACTTCCGGGTTTTCTGGCTTTGAGATTACTACGTTAGAAAACATTCAGACAGTGGCATTAGTAGATCCTACCTATCTCTCATCCTCCTTAAATATAACTAACATGAGTTAGTGAAATACAAAATAAAGTGACAAAACGTTTACTCAAAACAATTTTAAGCACAGACAATAATCAGTCTTATAAAATCAAGTACATCGGATACATTCTGAACTTGATGAAATTTTATTTTCCTGATGTTATGATTTTTCAAAACTTCAAATTAATCTAATTTCATTTGCGTTTTTTTTATTTTTAACTAAGATATTGATGAATGTCATGAAATGGAAAATGTGTGTAAATCAAATAATCCATATGCTCCAAGTCAAGCTTGCATAAATCTTATGGGTAGTTATCGATGTGTATCTGACGAGACTCCACCAAACTATGTGAAACATAGACTTGGTAATGGATTCAGGTTAGTAATTTTGTAAAATAACTTTATTGTTTGCTTAGATAATAAATAAATTTATTGAGAATAGTATTCCAACTTTCGTACGGACTATGTGGTTACAATGAACTCTTAGTCCACTAGGAACTAAAGATGGTCTTTCAGAAGACCTACATTTTATTAACCAGAAAAAACAAGAGTGAATGATTTTCTCACAATAAACACTTCATGTATGTCGTTACGTTTATTCATTGATCTTTTTACAACTAGTAGGGAAAAAAATCTATCATCATACAGGCTATCGACAGTAAAGTTGACCTACAATAGATCAAATAGTACTTTTGTAAAGTTTAATGTTTTATATTAAAATGTCTTTTTATGCATAAAGTATGGTTTTTTTTAAAAAAAAGTTTCAATATTCGTACTTTTCATGCTGACTGATTGAAAAATTTGTTAAAAAATCCCTACCAATGATAGTAGAAGACCGAAGAAAAAGTGAATTCATATACGTTTTGGTAAATGTAAAGTTATTAATTTTAATTTTGATATTCATTACAGATTAACAGAGCAGTTTCAGATTTTAACAAGTTCACATTTAAAATGTATATCACTTTTATACCCAAAATTATAAGTTAACGGTAATTAGATTACACGATTGTTTAACAGACAGTTTTCATATTCTTGTGATATTCAGTACTAAATACTAGTAAAATTCACATCTAGTGATTCTTCCATCAGATGCCGGCTCAGTGGTCTAGAGGTTAAGCATTCACGCGTGAGACTGATAGGTCCTGATTTCGAATCTCGCGAGGTGGGATCGTGGACGCGTACTGCTGAGGAGTCCCACAATAGGAAGAAACGGCCGTCCAGTTCTTCCAGTTCTTCCAGGTTTTCCATGGTGGTTTAGCTTCAACTGACTCATGATTTCAACTATGATAAATACGGAAATCTTCCCCTCTTCCTTTTGCTATTTAATTTCAACTATTGAACTACAGCAAATCTTGTGTAACATTTTTTTTCTGACTTTAGTTAAAAGTTAACTCCTTTGACAAATGTCGAGAAAATAATGAAAACATCACAAACGTGATTTATTAGCCTAATGCATTTCAGACAATATGACCACACATAAAATTGCCAAGAGATAAAGAACAAATTAAACAAATGGAAGCATCAGAATAACAAAAATATTAAGCGAAACAACATAAATCCCATTATTCTCGATATTAAGATTAAAATCAATGTAATCCAGGGAGATTAAATGTAACTATAAACATTTCTTGAAACATACAGGATAGATTGAATTTCAGTATGGGTCAGATTTCAACAAATCTTTGCATTTGCCCTGAATTACTGTTATACAATACCACAAAGACTGAGCTAAGAAAAAACTTGTCATATGTACCAGCTATATATTTGTTGCATATCAGAACGTTAAACATGTAGATCAAAACAATACAAATGTCACTGCATTATCTTATACGTATTTCAGAATATTATTTATACGTGATATATTCTTCATTAAAATGATGCTGTATTCATAAGAACTTTCGTTTAAATTAGAGCGAATTGTTTCACAGTATTTGAGTGCCGAGTTGATGTAAGACAATAAATAGGAATAATATATTTGTAAAATCTCAGTGGATGAATTTGAAGTAAATCCAACGTTTCGCCTGGCAATTTGGTCCAAGCTTTTTTAAGAAAATACTTAGATTCATGTACTTTTTTAATATTTTTACTGATATTTTAAAATGCTACTTTCGCGCTGTTCGAAATTCAAGTTTTATCTCAGATTTAGATATGATCATTAAGTGTACAAACATATTTACTCTTCGTGGTTTACATTATAAGGTAATTGGAACCCATATCGTTTTAAAACAATATAGTATTTATCAGTTAATATAAAAAATACTTGCTGTTTCTAATACCAAAACACGTGTAACATTCACTTTTAAAAATCACAATACATTATGAAAACATTACTTTAAACATTTTGTTCAGGTTAATTTTAAGAGTATGATAATTTTCAGAAAGGGTTTTTGTGGATAGTGTTGTAATTTTTTTAATAGTTGAGATCATGAGTCAATTAAAGTCAGACCACCTTGGAAAACCTAGAAGCGCTGGACGGCAGTTCCGTCCTATTGTGGGTACGCATCCACCATCCCACCTCGTGAGATTCGAACCCAGGACCTGAAGACAATGGTGGATGTGTCACTCAAGTTCGTGTATCAGTTGAATTCGGACATTAACATCGTTGGATGCCGGCTCAGTGGTCTAGAAGTTAAGCGCTCACGCGCGAGACTGATAGATCCTGGGTTCGAATCTCACAAGACGGGATCGTAGATGCGTACCCACAATAGAACGAAACAGAGGTCCAGTGCTTTCAGGTTTTCCATGTTGGTCTAGCATCAATTGACTCATGATCTCAAATGTTAAAAAAATTAGTATGACAAATCTCACATTGCACTTACCCTTGAAGCAAAGCAACAGATTTGTTCAAATTAATTGAAGCTTTTGGACAAACACCACTCAAAACCAAGAAGCAGTATATATAGATGACATAATGATTGCTTACAGTCCTAACAGGACGTTAGTCACAATAAGGAACTCTTAAAACCAGTTATGTAATACATCAACAACTTAATCTTTTCCATACATCAAGGCTTCGACTACTCGAAAAATACTTTATAAATACTCCTCAATATTCAATATAGTTTCTAATCCTTTAGTCTTTATAGAATCCTGCCAGTTCGTCTGCTGCGAATGGCTTTAAATACATCGTATTTGGGTGCATAAATTACAACTTATTCACCTCCTATTCATTAAATCAATCGACTAAGAGGGAAAAATCACCGAAACTGCTGTGTTTTCTTGTTCGGCACTCAACTAAGCGCTCTTTTAAGACATGCAACCACATATGATTCATACGTAATTATTCAGTTAATACATATCTAAGAGGAAAACCTTTATTTAGAATGAACAGTTTAGACAAATTGAAAATATAATTTTAAGCATTTTAGCGGACTGTTTGATAAATGGATTATTCTAGTACTTTCTTCATATTTGTAGCTTAGCAAAATCCGAAACTATATTTTTCGTAAATTGTTTTAGGTTTTTTATCCTCAAGTGGCATTAATTTTCGACCCTGGTGTAAAAGTTCACATAACCATTAACTGTTTATTTTTGTTCTATTTTGGTCAGTTGAGCATTTTACCACTCTCTGCTGCTTGAGGTGATATATATATATATATATATGCAGCGAGGTAGTGAGAGAGGTTCTTCACTCCTTTACTCTTTTGCATATCACATGTCTGGATTTAATTCTGACAGCCCTATGATGCCTCATCATTCTTCATGTTATAATAGTAAATATTAATCAGTTGTTGTGATTATGAAGAATAATTCATGACTATTTATTCATTTTATGATTTGTCAACAGTAAAATTTGCAGATGAATTGACTGCACGGGCGTAATTAATAAGCTTGATAAGATAGTCAAAAACTATTGTCCTTATACAACACTATAGAGGGAAAAGAGTTTTGGTATCATGATATAATCGCAATAGAATACTACTACTATAAGTTTATTATCAAAAATATGCTTTTATACTTGTCATTTGAAATAATATTATGGTTCCTTCTTCTTGAGTTCATTAACATCGGCTTTTATTTCACTCTGTATTGCATTAATATTGGATTTGAATGAACTAAAACTGACTTGACGTATTACGTCTTAATAAGGTTTATTCAATTTCTCTTTTGGCACGTCATACAGTAAATAATTATTACAATGTATAATGTATTTGCTGCATTTTTTAAAATTAAGCTCATTTCAACACAAACCATCACGTAATTTCAGATAACATAAAAACAACAATAGTAAAAATAACAACTAGTTCCAAATACCAATCCTTATGTAGCTTGTGAAATGTCAAGGTCATTATCAATAACAGATGCAAATATATAATATGTAGTTACTTATATATCATTTTGTTAAATTGACAAGCATGAAAACCTTGACCCATTGACTTTTACTGTGTTTTTTTCAGTATTAAAAGCATATAATAGGTGAGATTAATAATAATAATAATCTTTTTTTCTAAGGAATCAATGTTGGTTGAAACATCACGGTGAATAAGAGTGAAATAATTAACTTATTTCTTTTCATAGTTGAAAGCGTGAGTCAATTGAAGCTAGACCACTATGGAAAACCTGGAAGCACTGTACGGCCGTTTCGTCCTACTGTGGGACTCCTCAGCAGTGCGCATCTACGATCCCGCACTCGCGAGATTCGAACTAAGGGCCTACCGGTCTCGAGCAAGAGCCCTCAACCGATAGACCACTGAGCCGACATCCAACGGTGTTAATGTTTTTATTTTTTTCTGTTAAGTTATTTTTACTGCATTAGTTTTGAACTTAGTATAAACGAAACTTAACTTCAGTTAGTTATTATTAGCTGTGTAAAAAATTAGGAGTTTCAAGAAGGAGAAAGAATCATTTGTCACAGGAACTTCTTTCGGTGAAAATATTGTTTTAATCAAGTATCTAGACATTTTCCATACACTTTTTGTCCTAATAACGAAGGATTACTGTCGTCTAGGTAAGATTCACATCCTTTATTTGGTTTCCATGTGAAGTATACATAATTCCTGTAATACTATTATGCTAGGATGTAGTAATTTTTAATCAAACTGGTAGTACACTAGTAGTGATTTTGATTCATGATGAAAGGTACGTGAATAAGAAGTTGTAGCGTGATAATAGAAACCTAAGGTTTCTCACTTAAAACCTACTGAATAAAATAACAATGGTACAAATAGGAACTATTGAAATGGTGCACAATTTGTGTACGAATTATTCTAAATAGATTCAGCTGATAGCGTGTTACTTCATATTATGAAAACACTAATCCCAATGACTCTTTTCTCCATCACACTATCATCACTTAGTTGATATAAGGAATTGTTCAATCCACACTCAGTTTTTTTGTTCACCTGAATATTTATTATTATTATTATACAGATTAATAT